GTTCGGTACTCGGACCGATTCTTTTTACTCTCTACATGCTGCCACTGGGAAACATTATTAAAAAGCATGGAATTAATTTCCACTGCTATGCAGATGACACACAGCTTTATCTGTCGATGAAGCCTAATCAGACAGATCAGCTAGAAAAGCTCAGTGCCTGCATAAAGGACCTTAAAATGTGGATGACTCTTAACTTCCTACTTCTCAACCCGGAGAAGACAGAAGTGATCCTACTCGGTCCGAAGCGCCTGCGTGACTCCCTCACTAACCAGATGGTTACTCTCGATAATGTCAGTATAATACCCAGTAACACTGTGAGGAATCTTGGAGTCATTTTTGACCAAGAACTCTCCTTCAAGGCTTATATAAGCCAAGCAACTAAAACGGCGTACTTCCACTTACGGAACATCGCTAAAATTAGGAATTTCCTTCCTAAAAGTGACGCGGAAAAACTCATTCACGCGTTTGTCACCTCAAGGCTCGACTACTGTAACGCTTTACTGGCAGCGTGCCCTAAAGCCTCTTTGAAGAGCTTCCAGCTCGTTCAGAATACAGCAGCTAGGATCTTAACAGGTACCAAAAGGAGGGAGCACATAACTCCGGTGTTAAAATCACTCCACTGGCTCCCTGTGGAGTACAGAATAAAGTTTAAAATCCTACTCTTAACATATAAAGCCATAAATGGCTTGGCTCCTTCTTATCTCCAAGACACGTTAGTGTCGTATCAACCAGGTTTGTTGCGCTCACAAAACGCCAGACGTCTGGTGGTCCCTAAGGTCTCAAAGGTCACTGTTGGTGGCAGAGCATTTAGCTACCAAGCTCCTTTACTGTGGAATCAGCTTCCCATTTATGTTAAGGAAGCAGATACGGTCTCCACATTCAAGGCCAGGCTTAAAGCACTTTACTTTAATTTAGCATATAATTAGGTAATATATAATATGTAGTGTATATATTATATATATATGCTGTATTATGTTATATATTATGTTATATATTATTCAATAATGTATTGTGTTATGTTGTATATTATGTTATATATTATGCTGTATGTTATTCTTTATTCAAGGCTAGGTTTAAAACAGTCCTCTTTAGTTTAGCATATGGCTAGGAAGGTAAGACTCGGAGAAGGTTAAACTCCTCAGAGTGTTAGTCAAGCTGCATAGGGAGTCAGTTTGCTGGGAGAAGTATGGTAACTTGAGCACTATCCTCTCCTCCTTCCTACTTTATCTGTTTAGCATTTTTAGGATTCTGACTGTAGTTTGTTCATTGCTATTCACCCGTTGTCCCATTGTCTGTTTCATGGTACGATGACGGGATCTCTGAGCCTGGCCTCTTCCATCTACACCTGCGGACTGCCCCGCCCGACCCGCCTGGGAGTGCTTCAGTCCTGCACCGGACTTGTCCACGTTCAGCGTCCACTGGTCCACGTTCTGTAGCTAGCTTAGGTCCTAGATCATTAGCCTGTCCGTCCGGAGGAGCGGATCCCTTTCTCATATGGGTCTCCCTCCCTGTGGGTTTCCCTAGTTCTCCTCCAAGGTTTCTCACTTTTTCCCACTGGGTTTTTTAAGAGTTTTTCCTTGTCGATGCAGGAGGGTCTTGTTGGACAGTTAGTGTCCAACAGAAAGGATTGGTGATGATCAGGACACTTTAGCATTCTACAACATGTATGGACATTTTCTTCTGTGTGTGCTTTATACTGTATTCTTCATGTGTTTTAACTGTTGATTCTCTGACCTGTGTTGGTGATTTCAATGGTTTTGTTAAGTCCTCTGAGATGACTTCTGTTGTGACCTAGGGCTATATAAGAATAAATTGTATTGTATTGTATTGTATTGTATCATAGTCATAACATGGATACACAATCAGAGTCCTTGTAAAGTCCTGCGTTGGTCCACCTGGTAGGTCATATAGCTATCTAATCCTCATACACGTTACCATGGAGACACACATGTTCCACATAGATCTGAGGAGAGATACATGCTGCCATTTCTGCTGACCTAAACCCCATTCTCCTCTTCCTCACTCACTGAAGCTGGTTCAATTAGACCTCCAGACAATGGCAATGAAGGTCTAATGCAGGACAATAAACTATTATCATTTCTCTTTATTAACAGCCTTTTTCTTTTTACTATTTTGTAAAAATTCAAACATTTATTTTGCGCTGGTGCAATTCCTCAATATTTTCAGACAGAATCCAATATGCCGCTTTTTTAAAAGACGAGAGGAAAGAAGCGCCCGACGCAAAAGCGAGTGGAATCAAACACATTAAGCCTGGTCTGAACCCGTTGGGTCTGGTCGTGCTCGGGGCCAAGATCTTCAGCTCTAGTAGAGGTGCTGCAGGGTCTGCTTTATAGTAGTTTATTAGCACTAGGACTCCAACAATTCTGAAAATAATATAACTCCCAGAGCCGCTATTTTGACTGCTCTCATTTAAACCAATGGAATTCAGAAAAAATATCCCCAAAAAGTTAGTTTTCTACCAGTTTTATCAAAAACAGTCCAGAACCAAAAATGAATAATAAAGCAGTCAAAATGACTGGGAGTTAAAAGGTAGAACTCACATTTAAAAATGTAAACATAATTCCATAAAAATCACAACAGAAAGGTCACAGAGTTACAAAGATCAAACATTCACGAAGTAATTACGCTTCCAAAACTAAAAGCCGTCAAATTGACTGCTCTGGCAGTTCTAGTGTGAATGGGAGTAACCCTTACGTTGCTGTACAGGTGCTGCAGCGAGTCTCGGGCGTTGGAAACACTCAGATCTGTGTTCAGCACAAACTTCAGTCCTGTCGGCGTCTCGTAGAAGTGAAGTTTGTATTTACTGGTTTGAAACGACAAGAAGCCCTCTTTCCTGAGGAACAAGTCAAGGACCAGAACCAAGACTAGGACAGAGACTAGGACTTGAGCTAGGACCAGGACTGGGACAGAGACTAGGACTGGGACCAGGACTAGGACTGAGACAACGGTTAAAACAGGTCCAGAGCTTGAACCAGAACTACCCCAGGTGGTCTAAACCAGGACTAAACCAGGACTACCCCAGGTCTAAACCTGGTCTAAACCAGGACTAAACCAGGACTAAACCAGGTCTAAACCAGGTCTAAACCAGATCTAAACCAGGTCTAAACCAAGAAAAACTAATTTTATTAGGACTGAAGGATACATGTCTAGTGGAGACATTTTATTGACGAAGGACTTGATGGAGAACAACATCCCGTACATGAGTTTGAACTCCTACAATAAAACACAAAAACACAGGTGTAGTCAGTAGATTGTATAATCAAATTATTATACAAAAGAGAGTTAGGGTAAAATTAGAGTTAAATCCAGACCTCATCTTTGGAGATTCCCGCCTGCTTCTTACGGTTCCACTCGTTATAAAAAAGACAGTTTCCGTTTCGGTCAAAAATGTAGAGATTGTGGACAGTCATCTGAAAGAGGCGATTTACAGATAGTCAGGACTATTATTGCAGATACAGACGAGTGGATATGTATATAAAGCTTTCTCTCCTCTCAGAGTACACACACAATACTTTTAAAACTTGGATTTGTAAACACGAGTACTTTTGCGTGAAAAGTGTCAATGTGTGTAGTTTTATGATCACATTAACAGATCAGGGAACACTAATACTTCTGAAATAGAATACAAGGTATGCCTCTGACACCGTTTAATCTGACGATCTCTCAAATAGAGCGCCTTTTAGTCAAGTGTGGAGCGTTTGAGGCCTTGAATTGGTCCTTAAACATGTAACACAATTACAATCACGTCAAACTCAGGAGAAATAACAATTTCTGTAGTTTTAGTGTAATATTTGAAATCATCCCGTTTGTGTTTACCTTTGCTTCCGCTTCCAGTCTGTCTGCAACACGCATGCGCACAAAGAAAACCAGTAATTGTTTTATTTTTTATAGAATATATTATTGTGTTTAGATAGTTATTAGATTATAATGATAAAGAAAATAAAACTGAAATATTTGTAATTAATCATTTGTGTATGGTTTTGACGCTTTATTCTCTGCGCATGCGCGTTACATGCACAGACTCAAAATGGCAGCCACCATGATGATGCAGAGCCGTGGACAGAACTTTAACGAGATTTCTGCTCAAAATGCGCTGGTTCCGGACTGGATCGGTACCGAAGTCAGCACAGGGGTGAGTGTGGGAGCTGCAGGACCAACGGGAAACTTGAATGGTCCGGGTCTGGTGTGATTCTGATGGGACAAAAGTACTAAACAGCGGCTGAATGAGACAGCACTTCCACACGGGCTAACGGCTAACAAGCTAACCGCTAACATAAACACAGGAAAAGTAGTAAAGATAATGATTTGAGCCAATGAGCAGAAACAATGTGCTTAAGTTGTTCAAACGGTGTCAGATTTACGTGGCTCTGCGTAACCAACACCTCAAACAAATATGTTGTGGAGTTTTAGTTAGCGTTAGATAATTAGTATGTCTGATGTGTTAACATAGTTGGTATTTGTTTAAAGAAAAATACAGATGTATAATTACAAACGAGTTGGTTTAAAATAGTGCCCGCAATGAAAGACCATGGTCCTTCACTGTCTGCTGGTAACCCGTGTGATGTAAAAGCATTGTGCACTTGCCATAATAATAATAATAATAATAATACATTGTACTAATATAGCGCTTTTTTGACACTGAAAGACAATGTAAAAACGAAATAAAAAGCTAATTTATAAATAGCCACGTGCAGGCAGTTTTGAGCAGTGATTTGGACAGTGCATGAGTCCGAGTTCCTGATGTGTTGCGGGAGTAAGTTCCAGAGAGTGGGGGCAGCTGCAGCAAAGGCTCGGTCCCCCAACGTTCGGCACTTTGTTCTGATGGGAGTGAGGAGGTTGAGTCTGTGGATCGGACTGTGATGACGGAGGAGGTCAGTGAGGTATAACCTGGCCCCTTTGGTTATGGAAGGACTTGTAGGCGAGGACCTTGTATTCAATGCCGTATTGGACAGGGATCCAGTGGGGGTTTCAGGGCGGGGGTGATGTGGTCTCTGGAGTGACCAGGCGGGTGGCAGTTTTTGGAGATGAGTGGAAGGGAGACCATTGAGCAGGCTGTTGCAGTAATCGGGTCTGGAGGGGATGAAGGCTTATAGTTCTATTAAAGAGTAGTTTAAAGATTGTAAATGTGTGTTTCAGACCACCATCATGGCTGTGGAATACGATGGAGGAGTGGTGATCGGAGCAGACTCCCGGACCACCACAGGGTAAGGACCCAGCTTGGAACGCGGTCTCACTGTAGTGTATATACTTCATGTGTCAGTCCAGTCTTATTCTAACTGTATCTAGTGCATTTACTTCATGTTTTGCCCTTGTGTTCCAGAGCCTACATCGCCAACAGAGTGACAGACAAACTGACTCCGATCCATGATCGCATCTACTGCTGCAGGTGTGTGTCTGTTTATGTGGGGTTTGGGGATGGAGGTGTGGGTGCATCAGCGAAAATTCTAAATTTGAATTAAAACATTTGAAAGTTGAAACTTACTATTCAAAGGTGGTGAAACCTTTGTAGTAGATAGAGCGTGGAACTGTATGCGTCGCGGCATGTACGGGCTGCGTGGCAGTGGCGCAGGAGCAGAAAATTGACGCAGGCAGGAGATATACATTGGTGAACTTTTTCCAAGGGACGCACGTGCAGCGATCGGAGGTCGGCAAAGTGGTCACGGGGACACAGTGAGCAGACTGACAATATTTGTAAACAGCCAAAACAGGAGCTAGACTAGGACTGACAATGGGGGGGACAGTGCTGAGTTCTCTTTCTCCCGTGACTGTAAACAAGTGCAGCTAACGTGTTCACTGATACAGAAGTACTGTTTGATAATAGAATAAACTCATGGCGCAGCTCCGTGAACACATACTGCTGTTATAGGAAGTCTGGAGGTCTCAGACACAGACGCTGCAGAGCTGCATTCTTGAAGAAGAACTTTACACAAAAAGTCGCTTGCTTAACTCCGTTAGCATCAAAGCCCGTCCGCAACTTCCGCCAAGCGCCACTGCAGGCCAGGACTGCAGGTCTGAACACCCCAAGCGTCTGAAATCTAGAGAGTGTGCGTGATCGCTGCATTCCAGCGTCGGCGGTCTGATCTCCCCATTAGAGTAGTTATAGTCTAGCTCTAGGAACACAGGATAGTCAAAGTGGTCATTGAGACCAGGTGGATAGGTGGCATAACACTCTATTATTGGTCCTGTGAAATACTGCGAGCGTCTGGAGGCGCTGATAACACGGCCGTCAACTGAGTCATCCTCGGTCAGAAGGAACAGGCAAACTCCAGGTGTACAGTTTAGATGTTTATTGAAGAGGAGGTAACAGGTATGTGCAGAGGTAGATGGTGGATTGAGAGGTTTATGGTTTCATATGAGTGGGTTACAAGTTGAGGAGGAAGTATCCAGGTACTAAGGAGGGTAAATGGCTGGTATACGGATGGGTGATAAAGGTGTGGATTTGTGTATGGTTTGTGTATCTGTAATGAACAGAAAAGAAGGAATGTATGTTAGAAATATTGAACTTGGATACACTGTATTAAATAAACCTGATAGTGATGGAATATTCATCCGCTCTGTTGTGTTGTCTGTAGGTCTGGCTCTGCTGCAGACACTCAGGCCATTGCTGACGTTGTGTCGTACCAGCTGGGCTTCCACAGGTGCGTGTTTGTGTGTATTACTAATGTGTACTAAGATGTTTGTTTGTGTAACCCGTGTACTCTGGGCCGCACTTTGCCTGCCCCCGGGCCACAGTTTGAACACCTCTCATGCAAGTGTGTATGTGTGCAGTATCGAGCTGGACGAGCGCCCTCTGGTGGAGACAGCAGCTCATCTCTTTAAAGCGTCCTGTTACAGATACAGAGAGGAGCTCACAGCAGGGATCCTGGTGGCAGGATGGGACCGTCGCAAAGGAGGCCAGGTGAGACTGCCCTCCCAACTACCAAACAGAGGCTAAAGGCTAAAGCACTACTGACAACGGGGGGATGGAGACTTCTGATCAGAGTCTGAATAGTTTATCACCTCAAGATTCAGTTTATCCAGTGTTGGGGTAGTCCTCATTATTTGACAAGCAATGGCTTCACATAACCTTACAAATAAGATGATTAATGTGACCTCTGACCTCAGGTGTACTGTGTTCCCATCGGGGGCATGCTGGTGCGTCAGCCTGTGGCAATCGGGGGCAGTGGGAGCACTTACATCTACGGCTTCATGGATTCAAACTACAAACCTTCAATGACCAAAGAGCAGTGTCTGGAGCTGACTGCAGCAGGTGGGTCCTCACACACCACAGCTTCTAAAACTACACTCAAGGGACAAAAGTTTGCATAATGACAACGTAACGAGCCACGGATTGAGTGAAACTTATCGTCAGAAATAGGGCTGTTCCACGTTCTTTCCAACATTTTTATTACTATTTTACAAGGACAAGTTTATAAAGGAAAGTGTCTATTGCTGCACATGTAAGTTTCACATTGTAAGTAATTGATAAATTGCAATACATGCAATCATGAATCACCAAATTGTGAGATTTCTGAATAGTTCTACACATTTAAATTGATAGATGTTGGCTCACTGGTTTCGGCCAAAGTAGATCTTGATTTGACAAAGCAATGACCCCTGCGACGCTTTTATTGTGTGTTCCAGCTCTGACTTTGGCCATGGAGCGGGACGGCTCCAGTGGAGGAGTGGTGCGACTGGCTTCAATCTCTGAGGACGGAGTGGAGAGAAGGGTGATCCTGGGGAACGCGCTGCCCAAGGTCTCCACCCACTGAGACCTGGTCTGGGCCCAGTTTGTACCGTTGATCCACATTTGTTTTGTTGTTGAATAAAATCTTGTCTTTGAACCATGTTTTTCATTCTTTATCGGAATGGGATGGTGTGTGAAGAGCTGCGGCTCCATGGGGCAGTGGGTTAAGATTTACAACAAGATCAACATATTCAAGAGACTAAATGCCTAACTCGCTCCTCTGACTCATGGAAGTTAATCTTATTGGCATGGGTTTGGCTGCTGAGACTACACAGGCCAGTACTACATAGTGGACCTAGCATTCAGGTCTCGCAGACATCTTTAACATTCCTACCATTAATGCTTAAGTATTGGATTTCTTTAGTATTGAAATGTTAAAAGATTCTTCGTTAAAGAAAAAGCTTATAGCTCAAGTGCCTGCTCACTACAAGAAAGTCCTGTTCATTGAATGACAATGGTGGCGCTGCTGTCATAGGCTGGGGCTGGGCTCAGTCTCATTGTGGATCAGTCTTCAGGATTACGTCTCAATTTGACAGACACATAATCACATCTTTAGTTACTTTTGTCATTTAATAAAAAAAAAACCAGCTTATTGCACTCAACAATCAGTATACTTCTATAAGTTCTGTATACAGTTATAGAGAACACAGTACTGTAGTTACTGTTATAATGCTGGATGGAATTTTATTTACACTTTTGAACAAAACAAAAACCAAATCGCTGCATAAAGTCTTTAAACGTATTCCCAGTCTGTGATTGACAGCTTCAGGAGCCAATCACACAGCAGTTTGACCAGCAGGGGGCATCACAGAGTCCACTTCAGACACCTGCAACAACACAAAGGTGGATTATCTCAGGAGATGAGCTCACAGTACAGTGGTCCCTCTTATCACAGGAGTTATTTTCTAAAAAGGCAATCGGCAAAGTACCAGCCATGTGTTCTGAGGACGTAAACCCCGCAGAACTAATCACTGCGGTGCACACAAGCAGAAAATAAGATACTTTATTGATCTCACACAGGAGAAATTTACAAAAAGATAACTCATGCTATTAGAGGCCTGGACACTCAAACATGTAACCACTGAGAACCACGCTGTGAAAAACGACGCAAAATTAAATACACATACTGTGATACAACGATACTTTAGTTTCATTCACAGCAACAGGTTCGGCTGCTTTGTCCGCACTGAGCAGAAGTGGATTATATCGGAGAAGTGCTCTCTCTCACCTGGTCTCTCTGTGCGTCACTAAACACTTGGTGCTGCAGTATCGCCCTCCGCAGGTCGTGCAGGTGTAGTGCGAGGGGAATCCACACACGCAGCAGAATGGGCGGGGCGGCGCAGACGGAGGCGGGGCCACAGCCGACAGGTAATTAGGCTCCGCCCTCTCACTCAGGTTCTACAGCCAATCAGAAGAAACACATGGAATCACTTATCCTGAGTTTGCTCTAGTCCTGACTTTGCTCTAGTCCTGACTTTGCTCTAGTCCTGACTTTGCTCTAGTCCTGAATTTGCTCTAGTCCTGAATTCGCTCTAGTCCTGAATTCGCTCTAGTACTCACCTCCTCCTCCAACAAAGCGCTGAAGTTTTTTCTGAACCTCTGTTTGAAATGGTCTCCTCGAGTTTTCCGCCGCTTCTTCTCTGAAACACACATGAGGGGGTCAGTTGGGGTCTGGCCTTGGTACTGGCCTTGGTACTGGCCTTGGTACTGGCCTTGGTACTGGCCTTGGTACTGGCCTTGGTACTGGCCTTGGTACTGGCCTTGGTACTGGCCTTCGTACTGGCCTTCGTACTGGCCTTGGTACTGGCCTTGGTACTGGCCTTGGTACTGGCCTTGGTACTGGCCTTGGTACTGGCCTTGGTACTGGCCTTGGTACTGGCCTTGGTACTGGCCTTGGTACTGGCCTTGGTACTGGCCTTGGTACTGGTCCTAGTTTGAGTCTTGGTCATGGTCTTGTCTAGACCAGATGCAGACCTGGTTCTTCGATCTCACTAAAGGCCGGCAGTCTGGCCGTGGGTCCAGCAGGAGGCAGTGACGTCAATGGGTCGTCCTGGAAACAGAGTCCATGTTAGGAGTGGACTGACAGAAGTGATGTCACCAGAGTGTTTGCTGAAAGCGTAAGAAACTGATCCGAACATAAACTAGCTGGAGCAAATTTCCTTTAGTTCAAATGTGTTTCCAATTTGTTTCGCTGAGGTTAGCTTTGCACCCAGTGGGGGCGGGTCCCGGCTCAAAGGGTCCATGAGCATGTGCACCTTTAAGTCTGCATGCACTGTGTTCATCCAACTTGTCTTTGTGAAACATGTGTTTACTCGGTCTCTGCAATTCTTGACCCTTGTGCTACCCTTGATGATTAAAAGTACAAGAAAAATGCCCTAAATGAGGGTCTAAAAGTGTCAAATTGGGAAAAATAATAGTTTATAACTGTGAGGGGTCATCCAACAATGTATTCCAACGTGTTTTACTGTAAATGGCAAATAAACGTAATCTTAAAATGATTATTGAGCCGGGAGTTTACTTTTAAATGTAAGTCAATAGAGGAAAAACTTCACCATGAGCTCTTCCCTATTGGGCTTCATTGAGCTAACGGGTTAGCATTGAGCAAGTGGGTTAAAATAGTCCATAGAAAAAGGCGATATAGACAGAGAGGAAACTACAGCCTCCAGAATTAAGAGCTCTCACCTGGAAGTTGTCCTTCTCCAGAGCCTCCAGCTGTCTCGTCAAACGTCTGTGTCTCGTGGCCTCGTCCAACACTCTTCTCTGCCCCGCCTCCACACGAGCTGTCGGCCAATCAGAGAGCAGGAGAGAGGTGTGAGAGCCAATCAGAGAGCAGGATAGAGGAGTGAGAGCCAATCAGAGAGCAGGAGAGGAGTGAGAGCCAATCAGAGAGCAGGAGAGAGTAGTGAGAGCCAATCAGAGAGCAGGAGAGAGGAGTGAGAGCCAATCAGAGAGCAGGAGAGAGGAGTGAGAGCCAATCAGAGAGCAGGAGAGAGGAGTGAGAGCCAATCAGAGAGCAGGAGAGTGGAGTGAGAGCCAATCCCAGAGCATCAGTATTATGGGGTTCTTCAGGGGTCAGTATTAGGGCTGTACTTGATGTTCCTTCTGTCTCTACAGGCCCTCAGTCCAGGTCAGTTTCATTACCACGACAGTGGACAACTATTTAAACTGTGATTATTTGCGATGAATGGATTCACTTGTTGCTGGTTCAGACCAAAACCACAGGATTAATTAAGACATGATAACAACATCTTACAACGTATGTTCTATCAGACTGTTTCTCTCTTCAAAGGTTACATACTTGAGCTTTAAATTAGTTTCCGCACCCCATATTCAAATTTGTTATTTTTAAAATCTTAACCCTCTAGTTTTTTCAGAATTCTGAAGAGATTTACCTACTTTAAAAAAAAAAATGTAGCGGAACATATGCGCGTGAATCCAGGTTTCTATTTAGAAAGTGTCCTGGATTCTTTTTCATCCGTCTGCCAAGGAAAGCCTCAGTTGTTACAGGGCTTCATTCGACCATCGCTACTATTGAGGTATGCTAGCACCATCTTGCAATGTTTGCATACTACACACACACACAGGGCCATTCTCTGCTTGTTGTCTGCATGTCTTTGCAAAACATGTGCACTCCTCTTGAAGCGAGATGTAGCATCTCCCTTGCATAAACAGTTCATGTTGGCTGTGCCCAAAAGTTAAATGTTGTGAACAGATCAAACAGATTTAATGACAGCCATGCAGGCTCACATTATGCATTTCATTCTCATCCCTGTAACAAAAATAGTTTTGGTCTGTGTCCATCTCCCTCTCTGAGTAGTGACATGTTGATTACTCTCTAATGACGTGGACCATTGCACTTTATTTTAATTGTTGAAACTACATACATCCTCTACAGTGTGTGCTAATGCAAACCGTATAAATAACCGTTAACACCGTTGATAGTCTATCAATGTGTGATGTGACCCTGCCCGCTGGAAAACCTCCAGCCTGGTACCCATCCCCATGGTCCCCGCCCCCATGGTAGCAAGGCCGACAGGATGCAAGGACTACAGACCAGTGGCACTAACGTCTGTCATTATGAAGACTTTTGAGAGGATAGTACTGCGACTGCTCATGCCACAGGTGGAGCAGGCTCTTGACCTCCTGCAGTTCTATCAGGAGAACATAGAGTGGACGGAGCGGTCCTGGAGGTTATGTGAGGCTGATGTTCCCTTTTATGCATTTTCCTAAAAATCGACAACCGTTATTTAAATACATTTTAGTAGAATAGAGACTCCATAAGATCTCCACTTGATACGAGTAGTTGCTACAACTGCACACGCCACAGAAAAAGAGCATTTTGACTCTGAATCAGAGAATATTTACATTGTTCTTAACTTCCTGTCCCTCGTGCCGCTGCGTCAGCTGCAACCCAGCAATACACATCGGCTGTGGTTATCGGCCCAGTTTTACACATCGGTCCGATGCCGACAGGCCGATATCAATATTTATACCGATATGATATATCGCACATCCCGTTGAGGGAAGCACATTTTTTTGGACTACCAAGGCGAAAGTGATAGTACATTAGTTGGAACGGCAGAGATAGACTGTAAATATTAACGGACGTAGGCCTCTGTTCACAAGTGACTTTTCTGTCATTTGACTCTCGAACTTCTACAGCTTGAGTACTGACAGGGGCGACGGTGGCCTTTGAGCCTGAAGGTCGTGGGTTTGAGCCCACCACAATACTTTCTCCATCGACTCTCACTGATGTCTCCTGTCATTGTGTCCTTGGGCAAGACACTTAACCTCTGGGAACACCAGGTGCCTCAGTGGGGCGGCTGTAAAGTGCCAAACTGCCGTTGTGTCCTCAGACAAGACACTTCACCCACATTGCCTAGAATGAGTCTGGTGTGTGTGTGAACGGTTGGTGGTGGTCGGAGGGGCCGATGGCACAGACTGGTTGCCTCGCTTCTGTCAGTGTGCCTCAGGGCAGCTGTGGCTACAGTAGTAGTTTATCACCACCGTGTATGGAGTGAATAAATAATGACATGTGAAGCAGCTTTGTGTGTCCAAAAAAGTATAGAACCCTGATTACAGTTTATTCGTTGAGCTACTTTAACGAGTAAAGGGTTAACGCGATGAACTCGTTTCATGGATCAAGGATGAGACTAGTTTTCATCCAAACGTGTAACCATAAACACGTGTAGTAGGTTGCGTTGTGATGGTTCAGTTTTGACACAACGTGAGAACTACTTCAGAGACGTACGATCGCAGGTAAACAAACACGAATATGTTGTATTTAGATCCGTAAACACTGAACCTGAAGCCTTCTGCCTAAAGCCCTCATCAAACTAACCGCTGCTTTAACTTATTTTGCTAAAACACACAAATATATGTACTATATATAAGTCTGGTAAATGTTTATGTTTTAAACTCACCGGAGCTTTTCTTCTCCAGCACCATGATGGAGGTGGACTACGGCAACTGCGGAAGGACATGCGCAAAAGCGAAGCACCACAGATCGCACATTAAAGAGCGACTAAACACCAAATCAACTTTTTTTTTCTCATAAACTGCATAATGATGTTTATTGTAGTGCTGTCTACATATCCTGGTCATTTTTTTGACATTTTAGTTCAAATTAAATAAAATATCACTTTTGAGCCAAAAAACGCTGTGTGGTGCCCTCTCAACCTTTTTGGTGGTACTACATTTGAATTTGGTCCTGGCCTCTCCATTGACTCTGAAGTTCTCTATGACATCAGTTGTTTTGTGTGACGTCAGTCTGTCAGAGCCAGTGATGTGAACCCATTCAACTCTCGCACACGCCCCAGCTGCAGTTTGGAGTATTCTGGCGCCATCTAGTGGATTCAAATTAAATGACATGAGTCATTCTGAGATTATTGAGTGTGATTAGGTTCAGGTGTGTAGCTTTACAATTATCTTAGTGTGTAAACAAGGGTGGAATGAGACTTTCTGGTCTGTAAACTATTGCTTTAAGCAGAAATGACAACTGTCTGGTTTTTTTTTGTGTGACAAGTGAGCTGTCAATCACAGCCCAGACCACGCCCAACTCTAAGCCCCCCTTCTTGTCCCTTAGTCCTCCAGGCAACGCCCTTTTTAGAGAAAATTTTTAAATCTTCATGTGGGCGGAGTCAGGCTGGGCACAGGTGTTAAGTCGCTGTTTAAGAAAATAACCTACAAAATGTGACTCAGAACATGATTACGATTTTAACTAAACACCGCGAGAAATGAGTCAGGTTAAACTAATATTTGGATGCGTGAGCGGGTTGTGTTAGTACAGCTATTGTTCACTTATAAAACAAAAACAATAGCATTAAAATCATAATCACAGTACATTAAAAAGATAGATAAAAATATAACCCACCTCTACACCTTCTCAACCGACTCCCACTGATGACTACTGTCGTTGTGTCCTTGGGCAAGACACTTAACCCCACTTTGCCCAAAGCCCCCACTGAAAGATCAAGGCTATGCTCACAGTCAGAGAGCAGCCGTCCTCCTGTGGACTCACCACCTGCAGAGGGTCAGTGAGGGGCTGGTGCTATGAGACTTGGGTGGCATCTCTGACTGTCGCCCCCCTGACCCAGAAATGGATTAAAGGGTAGAACATGGATGGATGGATAAAAATATAAAATCCCTGAGTTGTATGCACAGCTAAACAGAACTGTTTTTAACCTGTTTTTTGTGCTGTGTGCTCCTCATTCCTACTGTTCTACAACTTTTAATGCAACACTGAAATTTCCCCACTGTGGGACGAATAAAGGATCTCTTAACCTAACTGTGGCGGCCATATTTTGTGGGTGTTCAGGTGATATTTTTTGCCCAAAATCGTGTTTGTAAAATTGTGTGGTGATGTTTGCGTTTACCCTTATAATGATGAATCAAACAGACGTAATCAATGAGAATAATTACGTTTACTTCAGACAAGGACTAAAAGATGTTGGTCCTGATGAGTCCACATGAGTCTGGTCTACATGAGTCTGGTCTACATAAGTTTGGTCTCATCTATTCTAGTCCATAGGGTTTTTGTAATAAACACTTTAATGAATTGGTGTAAATCTTTTCTGTTTTTATCAAACTTTATTAAAAATAACTTAATGCAGTTTGTACAAAAATCACAGAGTTCCATTTAAATAAAAACAGTGACACCGTCTGCATACTACGAGCGAGCAACGAGTAAAACCGGTGATCCTAAGACTCTAAACACATATATTATAAAAACTCTTTAAAGTTCCACATGTTCAAAGCACATAACACATCTGGCTCAATCTCATCAATGTAAAAAAGTTTAGAAACATGTGACATCATAGCGGTCAGACCTCAAGTAAGAAAATATATTCCATTTCCACCCACAGGTCGAGAAACATGTTCAGTCGGAGCACTGATTGTATATCAGGGTTTGCAGAATGCGGAAGAAGCCGGTTTGAACAAAAGCTATTCTGACAACGTTAGCTCTGCGCAGTACCGACGTGTTGCTAACAGAGTTGATAAGGCACAAATGAAGGCATCTGATTGGTCAAAGGAAATATAAAGTACAGATTTGTTTGTGAGTGTGACACAACGGTTGCTAAGAGAAAGGAGTGTTTTTTTTTCAATTTAAGTCAATGAGAGCCACCAGAGTGAGTTGAATCAAAACTTCATCATGAGCACTTCTCTTGGGCTTCATTAGTCTTTGATCTTTATAATCTCCCCAAATACAACGCCATACATTCAGTTCATAAATCAGACACATACAAAGCTCTTTAGAGGAAAATGAGGAAATGTTCTCCTGATGAAATGGTTCTGGTCCTGACGAGTCCGGGACGTGGTCAGGAAGGGTGTGTGGGTCCATGGGTCCAGATCAGGTCTCAAGGGTCCACAAAGGACACCATGATGTAGCGGGTCCCCTGGGTGACCGGCAGCCCCTCGTGGTAGTGGGTCAGGCGTCCCGGGTGCATGAAGGACCAGCCTTTACGAGGAGCCTCCACATTACAGTCGTAACGGAGGAACCTGCAGCCGCCACCCTGCAGCAGAGAGTAAGTAAGAAATGTTTATTTATATAGCGCATTTTACAGACCAGTCCAGAACACACTGGACCATCAGCTCCAATCACCACCGTCCATTCACTCTCTCATTTACATTCATACCTATGGTGCGTGTTTTTAGTGGTAGGGGAAACCGGAGCACCCGGAAGAAACCTTCGCAGACACAGGGAGAACATGCAAAATCCACTCAGAAAGGCCCTGTTACAATCGGGATTCAAACTCACAACCTTCCTGCTGAGAGGCGAGAGTGCTAACCACTCAGCCACCGGGCCGCCCCAAGTCAGTAGTGTCTCTGCAGAGCTAACATCAGGAGCTAGTGTCTCTGCAGAGCCAACATCAGGAGCTAGTGTCTCTGCAGAGCCAACATCAGGAGCTAGTGTCTCTGCAGAGCCAACATCAGGAGCTAGTGTCTCTGCAGAGCTCACATCAGGAGCTAGTGTCTCTGTAGAGCTAACATCAGGAGCTAGTGTCTCTGTAGAGCTAACATCAGGAGCTAGTGTCTCTGCAGAGCTAACATGTCTCTGCAGAGCTCACATCAGGAGCTAGTGTCTCTGTAGAGCTAACATCAGGAGCTAGTGTCTCTGCAGAGCTCACATCAGGAGCTAGTGTCTCTGCAGAGCTCACATCAGGAGCTAGTGTCTCTGCAGAGCTCACATCAGGAGCTAGTGTCTCTGCAGAGCTCACATCAGGAGCTAGTGTCTCTGCAGAGCTCACATCAGGAGCTAGTGTCTCTGTAGAGCTAACATCAGAAGCTAGTGTCTCTGCAGAGCTCACATCAGGAGCTAGTGTCTCTGCAGAGCTCACATCAGGAGCTAGTGTCTCTGTAGAGCTAACATCAGAAGCTAGTGTCTCTGCAGAGCTCACGTCAGGAGCTAGTGTCTCTGCCGAGCTCACGTCAGGAGCTAGTGTCTCTGTAGAGCTAACATCAGGAGCTAGTGTCTGTGTAGATGCATGTTCTCCACGTGCTCCTCACCTGATAGTCCACGTTCTTCTTGTTCAGAGCGATGTTGATGGTGAAAGTGCTGGAGTCGTGATGAGGTCTGAGCGACGGCTGCTCATCAGGACGATATCGGACCACAAAGTTCATCACGGCCTGAGCCTGGAACCAGAGGCAGAGTTTAGACCGTTCTTTAGACCATGACCAGGGAAGGGGGGGGGGGGGGGGGGGGTGTTGTTCACCTTGGGGTAGTATCCAGGGTACATCTTCTCTGTCACTGGGACAATAAACTCCTTGAGGAACTTAAGCCACTCTTTCTCGAAGTCGATCTGAGTCATGTGGATGTCGACTGTGGGGACGTTCTCGTAGCCTCCAGCCAGACGCTCGTCCTGCAGGAGTGAAGAAGGGAGAGTGAGTGGATGTGGGGAGCCATTTCTTGTCAAATAAATACGTTTCTCTGTTCAAACGATAGAGGTTAGAAACGCCCTCTTCTGACACTCATTAGTCTGCGTCCCCAAAGTCTCACAAGAGTGGCACACACACACATCCTGGAAATCACATCTGCCCGTTTTTTTTTTTTAAGAATGTCTATGTAAATGATGTTGGAAAGTAAGTATTTGGTCCATCTCAATACTTTGTTATAGACACCAGTTTTCAACTCCCTCCAAAGATCAACTATAGGGTCGACACCTGGAGACTGGTTAGGCATCTCCAGGACCTCTTTGTTGCTCGTCTTTACACGGATCAATCGTCCAGGTCCCTTTGTAGAACAGCAGCCCAAAAGCATAGCGCTTCACAAGAGGAATGATGTTCTTTGGATGCTGCAATGCATTCTTTCTCTTCCAAACACAAGTTGATATTTTACCAAAAAGATACAAGTCCTCTTCTGGATCATCCAAATGTTCTTTAGAGAATGTCTGACTGCCTTAAGCAGCGGGACTCGTCTGATAAGTATAATTAAACATACATGTCAGAAACAAACTCACATTATGACAATCTGCCAAGGTTTCTTATTAAAATGTTGTGAGTGTCTCAGTTCAGGATAGTGATAAAAATGAGAATATATACAGTGCCTTGCGAAAGTATTCGGCCCCCTTGAACCCTTCAACATTTCGCCACATTTCAGGCTTCAAACATAAAGATATAAAAAAAAAAATTTTTTGTCAAGAATCAACAACAAGTGGCACACAATCGTGAAGTGGAACAAAATTTATTGGATAATTTAAACTTTTTTAACAAATAAACTGAAAAGTGGGGCGTGCAATATTATTCGGCCCCCTTGCGCTAACACTTTGTAGCGCCACCTTTTGCTGCAAATACAGCTGCAAGTCGCTTGGGGTATGTCTCTATCAGTTTTGCACATTGAGAGACTGGAATTCTTGCCCATTCTTCCTTGCAAAACAGCTCGAGCTCAGTGAGGTTGGATGGAGAGCGTTTGTGAACAGCAGTCTTCAGCTCTTTCCACAGATTCTCGATTGGATTCAGGTCTGGACTTTGACTTGGCCGTTCTAACACCTGGATACGTCTATTTGTGAACCATTCCATTGTAGATTTGGTTTTATGTTTTGGATCATTGTCCTGTTGGAAGATAAATCTCCGTCCCAGTCTCAGGTCTTTTGCAGACTCCAACAGGTTTTCTTCCAGAATGGTCCTGTATTTGGCTCCATCCATCTTCCCATCAATTTTAGCCATCTTCCCTGTCCCTGCTGAAGAAAAGCAGGCCCAAAGCATGATGCTGCCACCACCATGTTTGACAGTGGGGATGGTGTGTTCAGGGTGATGAGCTGTGTTTCTTTTACGCCAAAAATATCGTTTTGCATTGTGGCCAAAAAGTTCGATTTTGGTTTCATCTGACCAGAGCACCTTCTTCCACATGTTTGGTGTGTCTCCCAGGTGGCTTGTGGCAAACTTTAAACGAGACTTTTTATGGATATCTTTGAGAAATGGCCTTCTTCTTGCCACTCTTCCATAAAGGCCAGATGTGTGCAGTGCACGACTGATTGTTGTCCTATGGACAGACTCTCCCACTTCAGCTGTAGTTATCTGCAGTTCATCCAGAGTGATCATGGGCCTCTTGGCTGCATCTCTGATCAGTCTTCTCCTTGTTTGAGATGAAAGTTTGGAGGGACGGCCGGGTCTTGGTAGATTTGCAGTGGTCTGATACTCCTTCCATTTCAATATAACTGCTTGCACAGTGCTCCTTGAGATGTTTAAAGCTTGGGAAATCTTTTTGTATCCAAATCCGGCTTTAAACTTCTCCACAACAGTATCTGGGACCTGCCTGGTGTGTTCCTTTGTCTTCATGGTTCTCTCTGCGCTTTAAACAGAACCCTGAGACTATCAAAGAGCAGGTGCATTTATACGGAGACTTGATTACACACAGGTGCATTCTATTTATCATCATCAGTCATTTAGGACAAAATTGGATCATTCAAAGATCCTCACTGAACTTCTGGAGTGAGTTTGCTGCACTGAAAGTAAAGGGGCCGAATAATATTGCACGCCCCACTTTTCAGTTTTCTATTTGTTAGAAAAGTTTAAATTATCCAATAAATTTCGTTCCACGAATACTTGCGAATACTTTCGCAAGGCACTGTATATAATGAAATTAATACAAATAAAATAAAAACAAAGAACACCCAAAAATCCCACCAGCCCTGTCATCGCAACATCGCTATTTACACCAGGTTTAACACTTTACGCTGCAGCATACTGTTAGGGTTCCGGATAATGCCGTAGAAAATGTTCCCATACTTTGTCAAAGGCATTAGAAGCTTGTTTGAGTGAGAATCTTAGTTTTTCAAGTTTTAGACAGGACATGACATCTTGTAGCCATTGTGAATGAGAAGGGGGAATCGTATCTTTTCGGCGTGCCAAAAGTAGAGTGAAAGCTAGATAGTGCTGATACCAGATTTGGTTCTAGTCCGACACAGAATACTTGGAACAAAGTGTTGAAAAAATGTCTCCAAAAGTTGTGCAGTTGTGAGCATGACCAAAACATGTGGCCCAAAGAGGCCTCAGTGAGGGCACACCTGGTGCATAGAGGACTCACATCAGGATACATAATGAGCAGCCTGGCCTCTGAAAGGTGTGCTCTATGAACTACTTTAAAGTGAATAAAGTGATGTTGAGCACGGAGGGAGGATCGTCCTCTCAGGCTCCTCTAAAAATGTCTGCCGATGGGATCTGGTGATCAAGCATCAGGATTTAAACATGTAATTGGTTTACTTGAGCCATGCTACTTGTAAGTAAAAGAAAATAAATTGAGAATTGAATCGAATCGAGGATTTAGAGAATCCGTCACAGACATTCAAACACATGCGCACACAAAGACACACAGAGCCTGTTCACTTTGGTTTATTGTCATTTATAGTTTTATCATTGTAATTTTGTTAATTTGTGACTTATCGTTATTGACATAAATGTAGCACCATCTAATTGATGAATACTGGCCATTCTATCTGGCATAGTTTGTCATGGCCTCTACTTTCAATATGTACATTTTTGAGTATTATTTGAAATACACTTAGTGAATTTGAGTGTGTGCCATAAAACATTATTTTGCATAAAAACACTTTCTCATGAGTTGTTTTTTTGCTGCTTTCTAGCATGTAAGATACTGGAGATATATGAGAAGACACTAAAGTAAAACTAAATAGTGTTAAAATCACTCTTCTGCATGGTGCAGAAACTGGTGCTTTCTGTCAAACTTCCTTCAATTCAACCAAGGATTAGAGGAGGTTGATTTCACATAGTAGCACACAGTATTCTGTGGGTCTTGAGAATCAGTGAAATCCTCAAAAACGACTGTCAGTCAATGATTTAATACAGTGGAGGACAGAGGAGATAAGAAGCTACAGGTCTGCTTGTTTGTAGGTGACTAAATACTTATTTTCCACCATCATTTGGAGATGAATGCTTAGATTTTCTGGACTTGTTTTTCTAATCTTCTCCTTCATAGTCGAGGTGTACCCGAGATAAAACACATCTCATATTTTTAAGTGGAAATACTTGCACAATTGACAGCTGACTCAATACTATATATCTAGACATCTATTTCTCTCTGTGACACGCCCCCTTTGTGCCACTAGGGGGCGTGTCAGGTCAGTACCTTGTGTTTCCCTCCCGACCACTGACCGTTGTCCTCCATGGTCTCCACCAGGTCGTCACACATCTTCTCAGAGAAGGCGGGAAACCAGTAAACATCTGGACAGGGCTGGAGAACACACCATGTGACCAAACCAGTAACATACCATAGACTGTAAATAACATTTTGCTAATTGCCTATTTCCCGTTCAAACTACTACTAAGAAAAATGTGCTTTCAGCTCCCTCTGCTGGATGCACTAAGTAGAAAATTGTACAGTGACAGGAACTGCTCTTGTAGTACTCGTCATGTGACTCTGCCAAATCTGTGGCTAACTCGACAACTGTTAGCTTACAACTGGTCTGTCAGGTTGATAATGGTAATAATAAACAAAATCTAAGTTGTAAGCCATTAGCCGTCGAGTTAGCCACAGGACGCGTCAATGGCCTAAGTCAGTAAAATGACGAATGCGGCAGTTCAACCCGACAAAGAGGGACTGCTCTTAGTAAAGTGATTCGACACGAGCAGTTCTACTTAAAACAAACTTTACACTAAAAGTGACATTCTTGTCTTTGTTTGTTTGAATTTAAACTTTTCATATAATTTGCGGACTTTATGTCGGCCATCTTTGTTTGCTTCGGCTGCCGTGAGACGCAAATGCGCAGGTTTGCATTACATCATAAACAGCTGAAGCAGCACAACCTGACGAGCGACACAACCCGACAGAACACCGGCACAAAATGGCTCTTTTTGGACCTGGCTCTAAAGCTGTGTTTGACTCAGGAAGTCTCCAGAAGGTTCCACAGTCAGAACTACAGAAGAGGTTTCTCTATAGCCAGGATTAGGCAAACAACCGCTCCCACTGGACCAAACCAGTAACATCTGGACTCTGTGTGAACCAGATGCCCTGTAGTTTGGGCCTCTCATTATAGAGTGAACATGTACCTGTTCCACAAAGTTCTTTTCGTCCTCAAAGATCTTTGAGTAGTTCTGGTGGATATACTTCTCCCTCCAGTCCTGAAACAGACCAAGAAAAATATATTGCCTGTGTGTTTGTAGGCGTGTATATGCGTGTATGTGTATATGCGCATGTGTATATGTGTGTATGTGTGCTTGTATGCAAGTATACCAGTGGATTGTCAAAGATTTGCCACATGTCCGGATGCAGTCGACTCGTGTTGAAGTTTGCGGCTGAAACCAAACGTCCAAATTCGTCTCTGTTTGACACGTACATGAAGACACCCTGAAGACCAAAACCGGGTTAAAGCAAAACCAAGACCAGAGCCGAGAGAGAGACCTGAGACGCAGAGTGGACTCACCTGGTCCCGTACGCTACGGCAAAAGACCATGTCAGAGTCCAGGTCTGGGTCCGTGAACAGTTGGACCTGGTTCAGTTTGGACCTTAGCATTGAGGCCTGGACCAGATACACCTGCGTGAGGTACGGCACGTTCCAGACTCCGCTGTGGAAGCAGAGACCAGGTTAGACCCAGGACCAAGACCCTAAACTGTATATAGACAATGCTGAGCCGCTAGCTCAATGCTAACCCACTCTGACTCCCATTGACTCAACTGGCAAAGTAAACTCCTCTAGCTCAGTGACCGTTTGTGTCACTATCAGCATTTTGGGCAAAACATTTGGTGGTTTAGCGCTCTGCATGATCCTGGTTTTATATTGTCTTTGTAAATACAGTTGCCTTCAATCAAAAGGGAAATTCCAGCTGGTCTTAGCAAGCACCTTAGCTACACGTCTGTCCTCGTTACAGCACAACGCTAACGCCGTTAGAACAAACAGCTCCAGCTAGCTTATGTTCATATCGGTTTATTCTGCATTCAGCAAACATTATGATGAGGTCACGCTCTCCCAGTTCACTTCTAATTTAAACTGTATTCATACATCCTGAGAAGTTAAAACTCACACTCTCTTGGCCTGCACAATCTCGATGTAGTCTTCAGACCTGGAATAGAACCCTTCTGGACTCAGAGCGCCCCAGAAGTTACTCCACAGCTTCCCGTGTTTGGACAGAACCGGCGCCACAACCGCCCTAGGGCAAGAGAGCAATATAAGACCAGCCCCAGACCCCAAAACCAACCGCCCCAAGGCAAGAAAGGATCATCACACTGGCATAGACCCAGACCCAACCCTGGGGCAAGAGAGCCTCGCCCAACATATACAGTATATGGGACTGAAGCAGGATTAAAGCAGGACTAAAGCAGGACTGACCTGTTCTCCTGGATCAGAAGTCGAAGTGTGTCCTCGTTGGTCAAAGCAACGTCAGAGTCAATGCTGAAGTAATAATCACAGGAGGGGTCCTTTTTACACGCCTCCCTGTAAACACAGCAGAGTGAGCTCCATGTCCTCCATGTCCTCACAAACAAACATGTACACCTCCCTGTAAACACGTAAAGCTGGGGTCCATAAAATGAAAACTGGGATATGCAACTTTCAGACCTCACCAATAAATCTCTGTATTAAAATCCATGTCACTAGTTCCAAAACAGTTAGATGTATGTTTGGCCTCCATCACATCACATTAGGCAGGCGTTAAGCAAAACAATCCCGGGGCCATTGAGTCACCAGCTAATTGTCAGAGCAACAGGTGAACCGGAGAGAGAGACGTCACTCAGCAGCAGACACTGACTGAGGTCAGTTTTCAGCGTAACTCTCGCTATTCTAGCTTATAACTCGATAATAAGGATAAGCCTCTGACTAGCTATGTTAGCAATTAGCATTAGTGGTTAGCAGTTTTCTATAACAATGGTTTTGGGTCTGCTTGAATAGCTACCACAAGCCCGGTAAGAAGTAGCATTGACATGTTGGGCAGAATGAGGAGTTGAATGAGAAAATGTATGTTCCCAGGGCGTCAAGGAGTCAAAAACACCCGGCCGTTTTTTGGTCCGAGTCCAGCCCTGCACAATAGTGTTGTTTTCTAATAAGATGGATACAGGATGTTGTGGTCTGATTTATTTACAACAATGTACTATTACTTTTACTACTACAAGACTCTGTTGGGACGAACAACATGTGAAAAGTATTGTATGTACGTGTGGGGATTAGGGATGCAACAATTTTCAATACTTTAGTCAAAATGTTTGATATGGCCGTGTGGCCTCGGTTCTCGTTCTGTAGCCTGGTTCTAAAGCCCGTCCGCCCGTGGAAGCGCATCCCTCCCTCAATACGGGCCTCCCCAGGGTTTCTCACTTTTTCCCCACTGGTTGTTTTAGTAAGAGTTTTTCTCAACATTTAACATTATCTATGAACATTTATCAACATTTCATTGGTCATCTACCCCTTAAGGACCAATGGCTTTATGTGTTTTTCATCATTGCCTTCCTTGTGTTTTAACAGTTTGATTCTGATCTGTGTTGGCGAATATGAACTCTGTTATTGAATATGAATCAAACAGCACGTTTCCTTTGCGTGCCCGTACATCTGTGAAGTGCCTGGAGGCTGAGGGAGTGTTGCTACTGCTGTGTTTGTGCCACTCATAACATATTTAAAACACAGACAGATTTAAGACTGTACTGCAGGAATAGTGTATTCTGATTTTGCTCATTGATAAAAATAACATTGACCAAGAACACAACCCTCATTTTCAGCATATTAAATTAATTTAAGAGAAATTTTGACCCTCATACTACAAGTATTGAAGTGTGACTTCCATAGATTGCTGCGTGTGTGCGTTGATTTTCGGGGACCGTGTACAGGCAGACTCACACTCCCATAGTCCGGGCCTGGTCCTCCAGCAGGTTTTCTTCTGGTCCAACAATCACTGCATCTGGAAAAACGTCTTTATGTCTCTGCCAAAAACGGTCCACATGTTTCTCATGGAAGACAACCTGAAAAATATATTTGCACACCTGAGAACCGTGGTATATTTGAGCATTCTCAATTTCATTTTAGAGCTCAAAGAACTGAAAAAGCACTAGTTAAAGTCACAAATGTCTTACTATGTGCTGCTGATAATCGACAGTATCAGTGTTGGTTCAGCTGCATTTGACACAATAGACCAAAACGCTCTGCTCAGACACGCTTCAACACTGTGGGGAAATCTTACATTGTTGTGGATGAAGAGGCGGAGTCTGCTCAGGGGGTAGTTCATTGTCGCGAGTCGTTCTAAAAACTCGTCCATAAAGGGCGTGGCCTTCTCAATGAACACACCCACGTACACCAGGGGGAGCTCTTCGTCCTACAAACACAGTGTGATAAAACAGACAGTCAGTTTCTTTCAGTCCTTCATCGGTTCATAATCGTATTGGCAGGTTTTTCAAAGAATCATATCATATGACAAACTTAAACCTAGATTTCAAATAAAACACTCTCCAGAAGTATCTCTACAGATGAAAGTAAAAATGCTCCACGAATAAATTCTTGGTGTAATGTGGATTATAATCATCATGGTCCAAACCTTGAGCTGGTCAAGCTCCAGTAGGTCGTCATCACAGCCGCCACAGCCGCCCTCATACGTCCAGGCAAAAGGGACATAATTCCCCAAATAATTCAGCTGCAACTGTAAACGGCACAGAAAGTCATGTGTAACACTCCCTCTAGTGGTAGAAGAGGGGAATGACGGCTTCTACATTTAACATGTTATGGTCTGGTCATACCTTGGTCGGGCCATTTCCGTGGATAATCACCGGTAAAGTGTCGTAGGCCACGTTTCGCACACGCACTCTAGATTTCTCAAACTTTAACACTACTTCATCTAAAAGGGAAAAATTACAATCAAGCAGCTTCAAGCCCGGGTTAAATATTTAGAACATGTTCACATGTGCGGGTCAAATGTTTACGGCGTGTAAAACACTCGAAGGCATCTCATAACACAGCAAAGTTATGAGATGCCTTTGAAAGCAGCACAAAGCTCTGTCTGCTCAGTGGGCAGACCGCACCTCACAGTGGTCAAACTGGTTTGAAGCCGAGTCCAGTATGACATACTCTGTATTCGGACACTTTGCAAATGGCCACAGGGTGAGTGCCCCTTCAGTATCAGGAAAGGGCATCTTCCCTCGTCTCTGGAATCGCACTTACCCACAGCGCCGTTCAGGTTCTGGAAGATTCTGGAGCAATGATCCAGAGTCATGTTGTATGTGCTCTGAAATATAAATAGAGTGTGAGAAAGTATTTCACAAACATACAACGAGCTGCCATTTTAATTAAAAAAAACAAAAAAAACACTAGTGGTCCCTTGTTTATCGCTGGGGTTATATTCTAAAAATAACTCGCAATAAGCAAAATCCGCATTTTTAAGGTTTAAAGCTGTGAATCCCCTCACTGCACATTTTATAGACACTTCTATCCACCTGAACTTACAACAGCTGATGTATGATTGTGGAGTTATCAAACTTGTTTGTTGAAGGTTTGCTGTAGCTGTCAAAAGACGTACATACACTGTAAAATACAGCTGCAGAAGACACCAGGCGAGGGGCAGGATCAGGACTGAGGGCAATGAGAAGACCTCTGAACTAATCACTGTGGTGCACACTCTCCACAAAAGTTGTCTTCTGACTGTAAATATGTCATGTTATACTAGCGGCTGTATGATGTACAGTGGGGCAAAAAAGTATTTAGTCAGCCACAGATTGTGCAAGTTCTCCCACTTAAAATAATGACAGAGGTCTGTAATTTTCATCATAGGTACACTTCAACTGTGAGAGACAGAATGTGAAAAAAAAAAACAGGAATTCACATTGTAGGATTTTTAAAGAATTTATTTGTAAATTATGGTGGAAAATAAGTATTTGGTCACTTCAAACAAGGAAGATCTGTGGCTCTCACAGACCTGTAACTTCTTCTTTAAGAAGCTCTTCTGTCCTCCACTTGTTATGGCACCTGTTTGAACTCGGTATCTGTATAAAAGACACCTGTCCACAGCCTCAAACAGTCAGACTCCAAACTCCACTATGGCCAAGAACAAAGAGCTGTTGAAGGACACCAGGAAAAGAATTGTAGACCTGCACCAGACTGGGAAGAGTGAATCTACAATAGGCAAGCAGCTTGGTGTGAACAAATCAACTGTGGGAGCAATTATCAGAAAATGGAAGACATACAAGACCACTGATAATCTCCCTCAATCTGGGGCTCCACGCAAGATCTCATCCCGTGGGGTCAAAATGATCATGAGAACGGTGATCAAAAATCCCAGAACCACACGGGGGGACCTGGTGAATGACCTGCAGAGAGCTGGGACCAAAGTAACAAAGGTTACCATCAGTAACACACTACGACGACAGGGAATCAAATCCTGCAGTGCCAGACGTGTCCCCCTGCTGAAGCCAGTGCATGTCCAGGCCCGTCTGAAGTTTACCAGAGAGCACATGGATGATACAGCAGAGGATTGGGAGAATGTCATGTGGTCAGATGAAACCAAAGTAGAACTGTTTGGTATAAACTCAACTCAATACTGAGTTGCATCCCAAGAACACCATACCTACTGTGAAGCATGGGGGTGGAAACGTCATGCTTTAGGGCTGTTTTTCTGCTAAGGGGACAGGACGACTGATCCGTGTTAAGGAAAGAATGAATGGGGCCATGTATCGTGAGATTTTGAGCCAAAACCTCTTTCCATCAGTGAGAGCTTTGAAGATGAAACATGGCTGGGTCTTCCAGCATGACAATGATCCCAAACACACCGCCCGGGGAACGAAGGAGTGGCTCCGTAAGAAGCATTTGAAAGTCCTGGAGTGGCCTTGCCAGTCTCTAGACCTCAACCCCATAGAAAATCTGTGGAGGGAGTTGAAAGTCTGTGTTGCTCGGCGACAGCCCCAAAACATCACTGCTCTCGAGAAGATCTGCATGGAGGAATGGGCCAAAATACCAGCTACTGTGTGTGCAAACCTGGTAAATACCTATAGTAATCGTTTGACCTCTGTTATTGCCAACAAAGGTTATATTACAAAGTATTGAGTTGAATTTTTGTTATTGACCAAATACTTATTTTCCACCATAATTTACAAATAAATTCTTTAAACATCCTACAATGTGAATTCCTGGATTTTTTTTCACATTCCGTCTCTCACAGTTGAAGTGTACCTATGATGAAAATTACAGACCTCTGTCATTATTTTAAGTGGGAGAACTTGCACAATCGGTGGCTGACTAAATACTTTTTTGCCCCACTGTAGGACATGATGTTGGAGCATACATGTGGCGTATGAGCAAAATTGCATCCACAAAAATCAGCGAAACAGCAAGGGAGCAAATGATGAACAACGTCTCAGCACTTTGAATGGCACCTCCTGGAGCCTCTTCAAAAATGTATGAAATGGTGGGGGAGGAGTATAAAAATGTGCATTAAAAAAAAAACATTTCAAATTTTTTTGTCAACGTAGACTTGCATCATAGCCTGCGACTGTATACAATGGCCCCTTGCTGAATCTTTTGGGTTGCTGATCCCTGTACTAGATCATTCAAAACCTGCTCAGAGACATATTCAGCGCCAGTACTTTCTGAAAAGAGTCTTGTTCTAATCCTATTTGCTGTAGAGTTTCTATGTGCCCTGCAGCCGCTCACCCTCTGACTCTTGTCCAGGTAAATCCGTGTGTAAAACAGCTGGTCGTCATCATTGTCTTTGTATTTCCACTGTTGGACGAGTGCAGCAAGTTCCGGAGCGAAACCCATGAAGCCTGCACACAACAGTCCACTTTACAACCAGAGACTTTATGTTGTTTTATTCTGAAAGACCAGAACAGCATGATAGACTACTCAAGTGAAAGCAAAAGGAAACATGTTTTTGTTATATTCTAAAAACCTCCAGTATTCATAAATGAGGTAGTGGTAGTGGAGTTTGTGGAACCTCCTTTAGCTCAGTGACCGTTTGTGTCTCACTCACCATTTTGGGCTTAAAAAGATCTGTGGTTTAGCGCTTTCTGTGATCCTGTTTATATTTTACTGTTTTCTTTGTAAATCCAGATATGAGCCATATATAGGATTAACCAATCAGATGCCTTCATTCACGGAGGAAACTCCAGCTTGCCTTAGCAACCATCCGAGCAACACATCTGCCCCATGGATCTATAATAATATTTGGATAGGGTATTACCTGTGGGGGCGGGTCCCGGCTCAAAAGTGGCCAAAATGATGTGCGCTGACATGCTGGCAATACCACCCCGGGCGCTAACATATAGCATTGGCAGACCTCTCAAAAACGTCTTTACAGGATGGTCCAAAAGTTGGCTCTTGGCCTAAAGCTCCGTTCCACATGTGTGTCAATGCTGAGGGGGGTGAATTGGACCACTCTAGTTTACTTGCTGTGAATTTTTAAAGTCTCTCGTTCAAATGAATGGAGCTTGAGCCGGCTGACGCATGCAAATGCCAATAGCTGTCCCTCCAAGTCAGTGGTACTGAACAGTGAACAGTATTTTCACGTCACCCAGAAAAACACTCGGTCCGTCCAATTCCTAAAATACAGGCTGTGGTATGCAGGGGTTTGTCCAACCCTTTTTTCTTTACGTTTACTTTGTATATTATCGTTTCATCTTGCTTATGTTTTAAATACATCTGTCACTATTACAACTGTATTCTTCCACTTGTCAGATGATGACACATGCACAGATTCCCCAGGTTAGCTGTGGATATATGCAGCTCCTCCAGAGTAACCATGGGCCTCGTGGCTGCATCTGCGATCAGTGCTGTCCTTGTTCCAGCTGCGACTTTGGGCAGACAGCAGTGTCTTTGTAGCTTTACAGTGGTGCCATACAGAATTTTTTTCAGATAATCTCAGGGAGATGAGATCAGAGCTAACCTTAATGAAGGACGCAAACTTAGACAGACTTTATTGATTCACAAGGGAAATGGCGTTGCTTGCATAGTATTCCACAATACAAATAACATTACAAATAACAATAAAGTAACTAAGAAGAAGAATAATAAGATAATATTGTGAGAATATTGTGAGTCTTAAGTCGTCAGTAAGATCTCACCTCCAGAGTTCAGGTAGCGTTTCCCATGATGCACTGGGGGATACTTGGAGGCCAGTCTCTGATCGGGCCAACAGAAGCCTTCAGCCGAGAAGACGACCTTGTGTTTGAACTGAGAGAACTTCTGCAGCAGCTCCAGAGGACCAGAGGCAAAGAGCACGTCATAACTGAGGAGAGACATCGACACCAAACATTATAATGGGACCAGTGACCTCAGCTCTATGCGGTTTAGAGCTGACTCCCACAGGCTCCATGAGGATTAGAGCTGACTCCCACAGGCTATATGAGGATTAGAGCTGACTCCCACAGGCTCTGTGAGGATTAGAGCTGACTCCCACAGGCTCCATGAGGATTAGAGCTGACTCCCACAGGCTCCGTGAGGATTAGAGCTAACTCCCACAGGCTCCGTGAGGATTAGAGCTGACTCCCACAGGCTCCCTGAGGATTAGAGCTGACTCCCACAGGCTCCGTGAGGATTAGAGCCGACTCCCACAGGCTCCGTGAGGATTAGAGCTAACTCTCACAGGCTCCATGAGGATTAGAGCTAACTCCCACAGGCTCCATGAGGATTAGAGCTAACTCCCACAGGCTCCATGAGGATTAGAGCTAACTCCCACAGGCTCCATGAGGATTAGAGCTAACTCCCACAGGCTCCATGAGGATTAGAGCCAACTCCCACTCAAACGTCATGACTTCCCCACTGTAGCTTCAAAGAGCTGAGGGTTACACCGTCCATCTTTTGATGTACTGATGTGTGTCTCGCTCTCAGACAAAACTTAGTAAGAATGTTTTAAGTATTGGATTTCTATAGTACTTTACTTTTTTTTTTTAAATCACACATTCACCGTTAAATATGTGTATGGTTTCCACACATACTTTTGTTGTTGCTCTCTCAGCTAAAAAGGTCCTTGGTAAATATACAGCCAAATATACAGCAGAAGCATTAATATTTGTACCAGTTACCTGTCAACAAAGAGAATGACTTTGTTGGCGTGGTCTTTGTGCCGCAGCAGCTCTTTCTTCAGCCACCTCACCTTTTGTCCTCCTCCCACGGTCTTCGCCACGTCTCCCCCAGTCCAGGCCTCCCCCAGACCTAGGACCTGAGAAAGTAGAGTGATGAGTGTCAAAACCTAGGTCCTTTATCATCTACTGTAATGTGGGCAACAATTACATTGAAATTTCCCCACAGTCGGACGCATTAAGTTCTATCTTATCTTATGAGAGGACCAAGACCCAGACCAGAGACCTGGGAGCGTGAGGATAGGACTAACATCCCAAACACACCCAAAGCGCAGCTACTTGGCAGAGTAGGCTCGCGGCATGCAGACATAAGGGCGACAGTGGCTCAGTTGGTAGAGCATTGGCCTTTGAGCCCAAATGTTGTGGGTTCGAGCCCATCACGAGACCTTCTCCACCGACTCCCACTGAGGTCTGCTGTCGTTGACACTTAACCCAAAGACACTTAACCCACTTTGCCTATGAGGAGCGTGGAAGCGATGTTAGCTGCTTGCCTTGATGTGTGTGTGTATAAGTGTATTTATTGTGTATGCATCAAACTGAAATTTGGAGATGAATAAAGGACCTTCATCTTCTTTCCACCGGCTCGACTTGACTCTCCCTGGTTTGCAGGCGTTTCCACCGGCTCGATTTTGCTGCATCCAGGGGCCGAGTCAATACCAAAACAATCTGACATTACCAAACGTCAATTGTAATTGGTCAGAAAAAAAAAAAAATTTAAATTCCTCAGTCGTTGGATGTCAACACCTTCCTCAGTTTGAGGAGAGGAAAAAATCCATCATCACATTGCAGAGAAAAGTTAAAAAGCATTAAAGTGACTACTGTGAAATAAAAGATCACAACCGCAAAAGTGGGTTGAACCAAAAAGCTTGGAGGGGGTTTGACCAGATGAATGCAATTTACGGTCATCGGCTAACACCAGGAGAAACCCTGCCTCGTCGCAGCTCCCAGATGTTGAGTTTGAGAGGAATGGAAAGTGTTTGTTTTCAATCAAATGTAAAAGTATCTGGTCATAAACCAAACCTGTCTGTGTGGTTCAAGTTGACAAACAGCTAAAGCAGTGATGTCATATCTATATCTCAGGGTGAATACTGGATACACGGTTCAATAAAGACAGTTGTTAAGTTACATGCTGTGTTATATGCCCCCCCAGTGTTAATACTTAACGCAGGGGCGATGGAAACGTTCTCGAACCGAATCGATTCATGTCCCCTCCCCCCTCACACAGGCCCCTCCCCCTTCACGCAGGCCACTCCCCCCTCATGCAGGCCCCTCCCCCCTCATGCAGGCCCCTCCCCCTCTCACCTTGACACTGTAGTTGAACTGAGCAGCTGTTTTCATGAAGCGTTTAAATCCATCCGTTTCTTCTGTGGCGGCGGTGATAACCAGCAGGTCATCTGGAAACAACAGATGAACATGAGAAGGTTATAGAGCAGTCTACGCTAACTGCCATGTGTGTTTTCCAGTTTTTCCGCAGTCTCATATTTTTATGCCATTAATCATTTCACACAAACGCCAAGTTATTTTTTTATAAGCATGTGAAAAACTAACATGTTTTCTAACGGGATGAAGACTTGTGTGTCTCTCATCAAGAACCTTGGTGGACCAGTGACATTTTTTAGTCATAACGGCACTTAACTTCCGGGACGCGGGGATCGGCTTGAGTTTCACTGGAGTTCAGCAGATGTTTACACGAGTTTCCTAAATAATGCTCAAACAGGAATTCAACTGAGGATGCTGAGCATTTGTGGGACACAGCAGTGCTCTTTGATTGTGCTTTTATGAAGTTAACTAATCTCTCTGAGTGGCCACAGTCAAAGCTATTCCTCAGAGAGAAAGCACATTGAGACTTTAGGGTCAGTCTTAGCTGAATGTATCAATCTCATTACTAAAAAACATAATTACAACTCACCACAATGCCATAGCACTAGCACAGACAGGAAGTAAACGATTGTTCTTTGTTTAAATGAAATGATATCACGCCTCACCATGCATATAGCCAATTAAAATGTTTACAGCCTTAAAACAAAGTCTCATGGTTTTGATGCCGTATCTACCGGCTATCGTAGAATCAGGTGTCCATGGATACATGGGCTGGTTTTTCACTCTTCAATCACAGCTAGAGTTGCAAAATTCCACAGAAAGTAACAATAATTTATGGGAAGCTTCCCTGGGACACTGCATTTGACCCATATGAGTGACAGAGGACAAAGAGATTGGAGTCGGCTTTCTCACAAACAGGTCACTCTGAACAATACACTCATATCATCTTTACTCCCAGTGCAGCTACAGTTTGGTCCAATTCAGCACTTTTTCATTAACCATTTTTTATAATGTTCACAAATGCATTTAAAAAACTGGTCCTTTCTGTACTGCTAAAGCTTGGGTATGTAACTTTAGCTTCATAAATACCATATGTAGTTTGTCCAACAGAAAGAGTCTAATAGAAGTTTAATAGACCCAATTAGACCACAAGATGCTGCCTTCCTCTTATTATCATTTATGTAGGAGAGAGCCCTGAAAGTCACTATTTAACTCTTTCTTTTTTGTCTGAAATAGAGATAGAAGTAGAAGCAAGAGACAAGGTTTCATTACAGGTTTGAAAGTCAGGCATATAGCTTTAATGCCTGACCTTAGCTTTAAAGTTACTAGTCCAGCTGGAAAGTTAGGTAGTCAAGCTTTAAAACACATTTGATCCAGTCTGTAATAAGCGTGTCTACTTCAGTCCATCGCGGGGTTTTTTTATGTTAAAGCTAAAGCACTTTTTCTAACACTGGCTTTATACTTGTGCCAACGCGTCTCTGAAGCTCATTGGAATCCTGCAGCTCCAGGCTCTGTCCACGCTGTGGGCCAGGGCCAGGGGTCATAAGATCCATGATTATGCCATGGACTTTTTGACTATTTAAATTTAGCTCACTTTCTTATACAATTTATAACGTGTTTACAAAATGAAGACGGTATGTTGTGAGCTGATTTGTTCAGATTTTCTGTTGGACAAACTAAAGTTAAGTTAAAGCTGGGGGCTTTATCAGTGAGCTGGGAAGTCTGATAATAATTATAATCACTCTCTCATCTCTGTGAAGCCTTGCAAAACCAGGACTAGACCAGGACCCGACCAAGATCAGATCAGACCAGACCAGGACCACACCATGACAAGACCATGACCAGACCAGGACGCAGCGGGGCCTCAGAGCTCGCATGTCCGGGCAGTGAAGCTCTTGAAGCGGCCTTACCTGCAGAGGGGCTCCGCTGGGCACTAACGACGCAGAAAAGCAGACACAGGAGCGCGGCCGACAGACACGGAGCCTTCCACGGGGAGAGGAGAAGGCCTGGCCCGGGGACACACCGGGGGACTGACCTGGAGACACGGCACATGGTGCGGTCCAAAACTCAGTGTACCAGAATCCAGGCTCCGCAAGCTCCAGGTTCGCCGCTACTTTGATGCTGATGATCTCAAGTCTCGTGAGAACTGATCCTGTGAATATGAATGTCTGAAGTTCTCGCGATATCAACCACACTGCGGTTGTCCCACCTCTGACAGGAAACAGAACAATCAGAGACGATAAAAAGCGGAATGACAGCACTCGCAGCCAGTCAGAGTGCAGCACACAGGCGCAAAATGCTGATTGGACAGAAGTGACGCTGCCACGTCCCAAACTCTCGAAACCCCGAAACTTCTACAACCACGTGACCCCTGGACTCGAGCTGTCGATATTTAGTCGAGTAAAGAGGGAGGTGGCCAAATCTATCAGCAACGTATGTGACAGATTCATGGTATGTGGCGAGAGTGACTGTCCTCAAGAGACTACGAGAGTACTAGAGTACGACGCAAACGTGCTGAATCTTAAATACCAGCGAGTTGTACGTTTTTAAGATAAGATAAACTTTATTGGACTCTCGATGGAGATAGTATAGCTCAGGTTGTGAAAAAGACAGGAAGTGTGCAAACATGTAAAATATAGTCTCTTTTGTACAGGATAAATAAAAAGTGGCTATAGCTGTGCTGGTTTTTCAGTCAGTGCAGGTCATTAGTGAGTGTTCATTATCTCCTCATTGTTTCTATGTGCTCCTCATCTTCCCATCGGTGTTGTTTCCAAAGAAGGAAGAAAATGACAAAGATCTGAGATTGTGTCTTTCAGACAGAAGACAGATTTTATTGTTGATGGTAGACGAGCACGAACAAAGATGGTACAGAATGCAAGTGATTTTACAGCATACAGTCCAATCACTATTGGCCACGATGCCTTCAGCCTTGAAATAACCAAAACCAGTGGAAAAGCATGTGTTATAATGATGAATTCAGCTTTAACCTCTGTAAGTAGTTGACTATTACATGTTTCAGCCCTCTGACTTTTCCACAGTGGGTTCACACTGGACATGAGCCCCACTCATCGACTATGTATCCTATTATACAGTCTATAACCCCAGCCAATGGAATGTACCTTGTAAATAAGTGTTCTTTTTTATATAGCGCATTTCACAGTACTTTTGAACTACAGATATTTTTCCATTTGCTCCACTCATTATGATGACGGAAGCGAACCAAAGCCTCTGTCCATTACAATCCATTCACTCACTCAAATACATACTGAACTATTGTACACGTTTTTGCGGTAGGGGAAACCGGAGCACACAGTGGAAACCTACGAAGACACAGAGAGAACATGCAAACTTCACATGGAAGTGATGTGAAGCAAGTGCTAACCATGCAGTCCACATGTACATGTTTATGTATACATATATGTGCATATATATATATATATGTATCTATTTAAGATATAATAATAATACATATAAATATAAACATAAATGAGTGAGACATGCTGTTTCATTATTTATTTTATATTATTTCAGAGGTTGTTCCGGGGATCTGCCATAACGTTTTCGGGTTACAGCCATTTTTTTCTCAGGTCTGAGTCTCTACCTTCAGCCTGTATGTATTTACTGTATGTCTAAACAGGTGGCAAAAGGAAGAGATTCAAACCGCAGATGTTAAATCTCGAAAGCATGAGAGTCACAGGATGTATAACCAAACTCCATAACTACTTCAAGGAGAAGGCCCAAACAGATGTCATACTCACTGAAAAATGGAGTTGGTCAAGTTCACACTGAGTCTGCGTTGTTAAACCCTGTTAAGGAATTGTGCTGGAAAACATAAATGTTCAGTTGACTTTTGTCTACATCAGAGGTTGGGAACCTTTTGAGCTGAGAGAGCCAAAAAAGGGTTATACTTAATGTATTTATGTGGCAGCTGTACACAATTTCTGTTAACTTTGAATATGTGTGTTTTTAAAATCAAGAGTGTATTATTTGTTTATTAACATTTATATTCTATAGAAATCCAGTACATAAAGCCTTCTTGTTATTAATGGATTAATGGTTAATGCAATTTTCAAAAAATTGCATTAACTTCATATTCCCAATATATATTCCCAATTAAATATAAAAAAAACATACAGTAGGTGGCATTGAAATCTTACTTAAATGTGACTTTGACATAAAAGTTCCCCTAAAAACAGTTTTTTTTCCGCGCCCGTATATCTCCAATCTCCAATACCGGAAAAACGGAAATCTATACTGTATCTATTTCATAACTTGTTTGATAATGGTATTTGGTCTGTAATACTATCAGTAGATCATACAGGAAACCCTTTTACCCTTTGAACATTTTAGATCTAAATTCCAAATTGCCGATAAATCTCAATATCCAATATTGGTAAAAAGCATTTTTGCCTCTAATCTGTATAAAAATATAGTATTTGTTACAACTCGACAAATATTTAATAACAAATTGCTACGTTTTTCCATCTATAACTTTTAGAAATTGTTAATAATTTCTTCAAATTCCATCATGCAGTTCATTTGAAGGTACTGAATAGGATTACCCATCTGCTGACTCCCTACCTATGCAGACGGTTTGGTTTTGAGAGAAATATATATATATATATTTGTATAAACATGTTGAAACTATAAGCCATATTTTTTATGAATGTATTTATATAAATGTCTTCTGGGAAGATTTAAATCATTGGTTATCTAAATGTACGCCAGTTTCACATTTGAACCAAGAACATGTTTGGTTTGTTTGGTTTTATTACGAGTAATTCTTTATATGATATGTTAATCAATTACAAGTTTATCTTGGGCACTGAAATGTATGGAAGCCCGTTTCCGCCATGTAAAAAAAAAAAAAAAAAGCCTACAGAAAGTCAAAATTTTGACTTTAAAAGTCAAAATTTCGACTTTAAAAGTCAAAATTTCGACTTTAAAAGTCAAAATTACGAGTTTTCAACTGCGCATGTGCAGTTGAAAACTCGTATGTGTTGCTGTCTGGAACGGTCTCTGGTCATCCCTGTTATAGATCTATGACCATGGGTCATCCTCTACCTGCAGATTATGTGAAGATTTTGCCTACAGACAGTGACCACATCCATGAAGTAGCAGCAATAATGTTGTGGTAGTAATCGCGTTAAAATGCAAACGGTCTCTCCGTTTATGATTAGAATCCGCTTCAGAAGCCTCTATTTAGTTTATCCTAAACGGACTGTGGAAGATTAATAATAAAACACATGCGGCTGTTCAAAGTCATTGAGCATCAACTGGTGACATCTGGTCAGTATCACGGCTATCGATGGATGCACCAGAAATGCAGTGAATAATATTGTGACTGACAGAGAGACCGTTCGCGATTACAGGACAGTGAGGGAGGTCCGCAGACAGAGGCAGGAGAACCACAGACAGAGGCAGGAGAACCACAGACAGAGGCAGGAGAACCACAGACAGAGGCAGGAGAACCACAGTCACGGGCACTGACAATATTACCCTTTTGGAATTGCGATCAGTGCATTGAAGAGTATGTGACGTGTTTGCGTGCATGCGGGGGTGAGCTGATGGAGCGTGCGGGTAAAGTTGTTGGCGTATGAGCAAGAACACAGAGACATACAGGGAATAAGTACCTTGTCTGATTATTTTATTGTGACAAAATAAAGCCCACGACTCTTTTAGCAACAATCCGGAGAAATAACTCCGCAGATAACAGTGAGGGTCTTTGAAAAGGGTTAGAAATAGATAAACCCATTATAGATGCATGAATAAAACCCCGTACTCAACACGTAGAAATACTCGCTCCGTGTGGACCCCTCTCAGCGCCATCGTCTGGTCAGAGTGGTCTATAGCAGATTGGATTGGAATGTCTCGATGGCTCATTTTCCTTTGATTTATTATAAAAACGTATTGCTCACATTATTTGTTACTATGTCGAAATAAGAAGTCGTTTGATTTAAATGCTGTATATATGTAAATTGAATTTAACATAAATAAATAAAAAAGACAGCTCCTCCCTGCCTCCTACGACCGCGGTCTGGGGCTTAAACAGGAACGTTTTACAGAATCAATCAAACAACATTATTTCTGGCTACTTCAAGGATGCAGTGGTCGCTGTCAGCAATATCTTCACATAATCTGCAGGTGCAGGACGTCCAGAGACCGTTCCAGACAACAACACACACGAGTTTTCAACTGCACATGCGCAGTTGAAAACTCATAATTTTGACTTTTAAAGTCGAAATTTTGACTTTTAAAGTCGTAATTTTGACTTTTAAAGTCGAAATTTTGACTTTTAAAAGTCGAAATTTTGACTTTTAAAGTCGTAATTTTGACTTTTAAAGTCGAAATTTTGACTTTTAAAGTCGAAATTTTGACTTTTAAAGTCGAAATTTTGACTTTCTGTAGGCTTTTTTTTTTTTTTTACATGGCGGAAACGGGCTTCCATAGAAATGTAATAAAGAGATGTGAATGTTTTTTTCCATCGCTGAAATATATGATGAAAAGTCTGCTGTCAAACTCCTCAACATGGTTGAAAAACTGAACTTAAGCTTGACCTTAAGCACCATTTCTATTTTACTTACTGTCAAAAGTTACTTGCCCAAATATTACGACCATGGCCTGCAACTATCATGATAGTGGTTGGTACTATTTTGAATCAGGAAAATGATGTACCCAAGACAAGCTCCAAAGATTTTGTGGTTCTTTAATTTCCGACTGCCTCTAGAGAAAGACAGCATTAATGCAGGTATTTTTGGCTCCAGCTCGTCCGGGGGGGACCCCAAGGCGTTCCCAGGCCAGCTGAGAGACAAAGTCCCTCCAGCGTGTCCTAGGTCTTCCGCGGGGCCTCCTCCCGGTGGGACGTGCCCGGAACACCTCCACAGGGAGGCGTCCAGGAGGCATCCGGAACAGATGCCCGAGCCACCTCAACTGGTTCCTCTCGACGTGGAGTAGCAGCGGCTCTACTCCGAGCTCCTCCCATGTGACTGAGCTCCTCACCCTATCTCTAAGGGAGTGCCCAGCCACTCTGCGGAGGAAGCTCTAGAGCAGAAATCATCAGATGTAATACAGTAAATATACAAAAAGATTATTTTTGCATTAAATCCTCTTTTTTATCTCTATTTACCGTCACAACTTGCCAGCGCACCATCCAACGTCTCTCAAGGCATTGCCAGGGTAACGTCTCACGTGCAGCACCTGACACCTCCCAACCACACGCGCTGTAACAGCACCCTCTTCTGGCCAAACTGGGGACAGTATCTGCAGTTCGTAATATTACTATTTGACCCGGCGACATATAGAACATACAATTGTTCTCTCTGTTCTAATTTTCCTTTTATTAGCCTCGTCCCTTTTGTACTAATGTTGTAACTGATTGTACACGACTGTGTGTGAAGTTATTAAATATATATACATTAAACAAATGTGTGTAATATTTACAGTATGGTGTAACAGACCACACATGTGAAAATCTAACATTATAGAGACACATATTTATGGAACAGACTGAAACAAATAATCATGTTCATGAATTCGTTATGATAGATCCACGTTATAATGACACTTCTTCCGGGTGTGCCAACGGGCCGTTTCCATGGCGACACGCAGCTTTGTCAATGTTGTGGTCAGCGCGTTTTAGCTCCTCAGACCCAACAGTGACAGGACCCGCGGTAAAGTACAGTTTATAAACAGATTTCAACTGTTGACGAAAATGCACTAACGCTAACTAAAACTATCATTTACAGTCTGCAAAAACATAGGTAGCAAGCTAGTTATATCTTTTCTTATCTTGTTACATAACAAAAACATTTTGGCTAGAAGTAGTAACGCTATATTGTTTCACACACATGCATAAAATGGCGTATTAACTGTCTGAACAACTGCTTTTTGGAATAAAGAATCTAAGTTAACAAAGATTTGCAACATTATCATAATTATGGGTCACGTATGACGTCATCACATGTATGTTCTGAAGCAGATGAAGTTCTTCACGCCAGCAGAAGTGTCCGCCCACAACACGCGTGACGACCTGTGGGTGTGTGTGCTGGGGCGTGTGCTGGACCTGACTGAGCTGGCCCAGAAGAACAAGGGTATATGCTGTTATGTATACTACTATATAAACACATTGTATACATGCATATTTAAATGTTGTGGTGTGAGCTAACTGTATGTTCCAAATATAAATTCTGTGGACCAAATACAAAAAACAACAAAAACAGCAACAATCCACAAACTCAATGTGGCATACAATGACTGCCTATGAGGCTTTTATTGAAAAGGCCAAGATGGGAAAGTGCAAGCACTCTGTGTCTGCCGGAATAAGGACATTTCAGGCAGCCGTTCGATGTGGGATATAAAGTCAAATTCAGTGCCACGTGGTACCAGGCGCTGGCAGATCTGTGGAGACATTGGCACAGCTGTTTGCTCTGAGGAGTGAGGAGGATTGCTGTGAATATGTGTTGTTTTGTGTTTATGTGACCATGGACGATGAGTCTGTAATAAAAGTTTGATGATGATGATGATGTATAACAATATATTGTTATACATACTATCTTGTATACGGTTATCCATACGGTTATACAGTGTCTTGCAAAAGTATCAATACAACTTGATATCCACTTAATTTGGGATTTTCTCCTGAAAAACACAAAGTAACTTTGTGTAAAGCCCTGGTCAGAGTCCAGACCTAAATCCAAGTAAAAAAAATCTGTGACAATGCTGTTCACAAACACATCTAATCTGACAGAGAGCTGTCTCCAAACGCACGAAGCAAACAAACAGAGCTTCCACATACTGTTACAACAGGCGGGAGGAGTGGAGCATCATTGTAGTATTATTGTGTCATAGTATTATTGTGTCATAGTATTATTGTGTCATAGTATTATTGTATCATAGCATTATTGTGTCATAGTATTATTGTATCATAGTATTATTGTGTCATAGTATTATTGTGTCATAGTATTATTGTATCATAGTATTATTGTGTCATAGTATTATTGTATCATAGCATTATTGTGTCATAGTATTATTGTATCATAGTATTATTGTGTCATAGTATTATTGTGTCATAGTATTATTGTATCATAGTATTATTGTGTCATAGTATTATTGTATCATAGCATTATTGTGTCATAGTATTATTGTATCATAGTATTATTGTATCATAGTGTTGTATAATGTAGTTATGAACATGTATTAGCACTACTGGAACACACTGTCATATATACTGTTATATAAATACATACTGTGCATAGATACTGATAAAGGACCTGAGTGAACTGACGCTAATTGATGATTAGAAAATCTTTACCTTTTTGTGCTTTGTTCAGATGAAGCTCTGCTGCTCCCTCTGCTGGAAAGTGCGGGTAAAGACATCAGCCACTGGTTTGACCCAGAAACCAAAGATGTGAGATTTATATTACTACTACTACTACTTCTGCTTCAACAACTGCTGCTTCAGTTTCAGTTTATTACAAATACAAAAAAAGCATGTCACATTTATTCATAATTAGTCGCATTGTATATTTGTAAATGGGAAACACCCTTGAAGTAACGTTTAGTTTATACATGGGACCCAAGACATCACACAGCACGTCTGTCTTTTGCACTATCTGAGTGATTCTATCTGTGCCAAATGTGATCAATAATGTCTATCTTATCTTAAAAAAATAAAACTTATTTCCTTTCAACTTACCTGCCTACCTATCTACTAACTAATTTACCTTTACATTTAAAACTACCTATATCATTCTTTTATTTGATTTAATATATCAAATTCATTAGTACACATTTAGCTACAGTCCATATTGCTACAAAAAGATTAATTCAGACATAAGCGAGGATTGTTATAATTCCTAAGATGATTGATTTTTAGATTCTTTTTTAAACGTGATCATGGATGCAGTGGATTTTATGTCATTTTCCAGCTCATTCAAAACTTACCGGCCGTTACATGCTACGCTAAAGCTTGTGCACTTTAGCTTTCTCGCTTTCTTCAAGAGGGCTTTATGTCTGTTGTTCTGCTCATGAGCAGGTGAAGATCGGGATGATCTCAGCCAGTCTTTCCTCGGGTCAAGACACAACATTATGCATCAGGCATTATGGAAGAGGTTGCAGTCGTGGAGTCTCAGAAGCATGTATTTATAAAAAAATAATCAGTGGAACTGTGAAATTTGGACCAAGATATTGCGTTATTTGCTTATTTTGATGGGCTTGTAGCTTAGAAGATAGCTCGGGAAAGTATTGCACCAGATCACGTTACAATAATTGAGAATGTGGTTCAAAAAGAGATTGGTGGAGGATAAAAAGGGCCTCTAGGGGCAGAAAATGTCTTAGTTTATAAAAAGGTCGACATATTCGGACAATTTATCGACAAAATGGTCAATGTGATTTCTGAAAGTTATGTGTTTGTCAACTTGAATGCAATTTGATATTAATGAGCCCGTACATACAGTAATTTCAATATTTCTAATATTAATTGTGATGTGAAGGTAATCTACGTTCTTCTTGTTTCTATTTGAGCAAAATACAATAGTGTTTAAGTTTCTGGATAATTTGTTGCAATTGTACCAGTACACTTTTTGAAGTTCTTTATTTAAGACGTTTGGAACTTTATGAGAGAGAAATAAATGTGTAACTTTATGGAAGATTTTTGATGAATTTCGAAAATCATTGATATCAATCATAAATAGTAACGACCTTAGAATGGAGCCTTGAGGGACTCCGCAGATAATTTTACTGTGTTTATTATTAGTGTGCAGTCATTGCTCCCTTTCATATGTAGCTTCTGAATCAACAGAGTGCAGAACCTGTGACACCATAATGTTGTAACTTTCCAATGAGTATGTTGAAATCAATAGTATCGAACGGTTTTGATAAGTCAAGGAAAACGCGTACACCACACTCGCCTTTATCGATAGCATCAAGGATTTTTTTCTAGTATACCCAAAATAGCCTTTTTAATAGTGTGTGTAACTGGCTCCCACTTTTGGACCTACTGAGTTGAAAAACTCATTAAAAGCTGGTTGTCAGCGTAGCCATTGGTTGCACTCATTAAGAGCTTGGGAAAGGTATTTGTTTTTTGACCTTTTTTAAGGACCTCATTTAATACTTTCCAGCACTGCTTCTGATTTCCACGAGAACGCGGACATACTGTAACATGAAGTGAACAGGTCTTGACAATTTAAGTTTTGCATCTGTTGTTTGGACAATAATAACATAGTTCGATATGACATGAAATTGTCCCTCTTTTCATTCTGCTTGAAAAACTATAAAGCTGACAATAAAAATTCCAGGTTACTCTGGTGCAAAGATTCTGTGTAAGAGCCTTTATCTTCAACACTACAACTACTTCTGCTGCTACTAAAACTACTGCTGCTATTACTACTCCTACTGCTATTGCTGCTACTACTTGTGATAGAGGGTTACAATCAAGCAAATGGAAGTAAATGGTTTGTAATTCTTTTTTCTGGGATAAAACTAAGAATGATAAAGCTTATATTCGCCATGTACTGCATGTCCACCGACCCCTTCTGTGTAAAACTTCTGTTTTCAAACTGGCTTCACTCTTCTCTCAGTCTCAGTAAAGTTTTCTCGCTCTTTACAGGTGTGTCTCTTTGTGGATCAGGTGACGCAGTGTCGGCGGTACTACACCCCCAGAGGGCGCTTTGTGGACGTGCCCCCCCCAGGCCCCCGCTCAGACTGGGCCTGTGAGCACAGCACGCCCTGGTGGAGAGACCAGCGCTACTGCATTGGCCTGCTATCCCACAAAACACGGTTTATACGTGTGGTGAACACTCTGACGGGCCAGGAGCAGAGGCTTGAGGTGTGCATGTTACACATGTACAGTATTTACCTGGCCATAGCATGGATCTATAATAATAACTGGATAGGGTATTACTAGCTTAAAGCTGTCCCACCTATGGGCGCAGGGGGCGCCCGTGGTACTGCAAACTAAATTCACGAGGCTACCCAGAAAAAAGTCCCATAGAAATAAATGTAAATCAAAACAGCTCGACCTCAGCTGACAGAGAACCTACAGCTTTCATAAAGATTGGATTTTGTGGGGATTTTAGTGTCCCTTGCCATCCTGAACTTTTTTTCTTCTTAAATCCTTCGGTTTTCTTTAAATCCACACTTTACTGCCACAAACTCTGCTCCTTTTCCTTCCTTCCCTTCCTTAAATATATATATATATATATATATATATATATATATATAAAACAGTATGCATATATCAGTATACATGTCTTACTAAACATGCCACAGTGTACATATCTTAGTAATCATGTCTCAGTATCCATGGCCTCTGTCTCAGGTGTGCAGCGAGGAGACGCTGGCGGCCATCTTGGATCGGTACCTGCCGTACAATAACCATGCTCACAGCTACACCTGGAGACACGCCGGCTCGGATCTGGACATGGGCGCCACGCTGGAGGAGAACGGTATCCATGACGACGACCATCTTCTCCACCAGCTTGGCCTCCACGACGATGCACTGTGCCCTGCCCTCCTGCTGCACTTCACAGACGACCTAAGTTAAAATCTCTGAAATAGTAGCACTGGCTCCGGACACAGGGGGGCGATCATGGGACACACCTGAGAAGACTTTGGCACGTATTACAATACCGTACCGTGAAATAAAGTACTCTGTCTGAAACATGAAACATGAAAGTGCACCAATAAAGACGGGTTTGGACATCGGGGTTTGGACACTGGGGTATGGACACTGGGGTTTGGACACCGGGGTTTGGACACCGGGGTTTGGACACCGGGGTTTGGACAGCGGGTTGGGAGTAGCAGGCTTGGTGTCTTTTGAGCTGCTATTCTCCAGATTTCATGTGAGCAAAAACTCGCCTGACAGCTTTGATTACTGCTCCTCACTGAATATTGGGTTTAGCCAATTATGAAAGCTGCAAAGAAAGACAATAATAATAATAGATCAGTTTTATATAGTGCTTTTTTGGCCCACTCAAATATTCTTTACAAACCATTCACACACACACACGACTCATTCTAGGCAATGGGGATGAAGTGTCTTGCCTAAGGACACAACAACTGTGGCAGTTTAAAGCCGCAGCCAGTGCCCACTTTGGCACCTGGAGTTCCAAGAGGTCTCCCATCACAGCACTAACCTCACCCTGTTCTGTGCTGCTTAGCTTCAGGGCTCTGACATAATCTGGCTTTCACATGCAGGTATGTCCATTCTCTCAGGTTTCCTTCAGTCATGTCCAATATAAAGAGATCTTATTTACCCCTTTTGGTCTTGTAGTTGCAGCAATTGTAGGTTTTGCCCTCTGCCTTCCTGTTCACAAGCATGTAAGGGTTATCATTGTCACTTAGTTGGTCTTGCAGCACGAGGTATTTGACTCCTGCCAAATACACACCGTCCCGGGACAATTTTGCCTCCCCATCATTGAGCTTCATCACCTCCTCCCCCTGCAAACACACCATTTTAAACTACTGCTACTATTGCTGCAAAAGTAGCAGCAACAGCAGTAGTAGCAGCAGTAGTAGCAACAATAGTAGTAGTAGCAGCAGCAGCAGCATTCTTACACTCATTTCGAAGTCTGGTGAATTGGCCCACAATGATCCGTCCAAACCGTAGATTGCAGCTTCTTTACATTCGTCATCCTCTCCTGTTAGTTTATCGATGAACGAGCTCCAGGTCATCCTGTTACAGCCATAAAAGTGCGATCAGTAAGTCACATTTATGTCGTAGGAGATTTTAACCAATCAAAACAAACTCAAAAAGACAGATTTAAAACAGCTTCACTGCACCCATACCCACCACTCCAATGGGGCGTTCAGACCGGATCATGCATTGAGGCGGCTTTCAATGCAAAGTCAATAGTGACGTGCGTTCGAAACCAGCGTGGAAACCAGCGAGCATCCAAAGAGAGAGAGAGACCAAAAGGACCAAGAGAATTTTCACAATATCATGTGTATTTTTGTTTTAGAAACCTTCACCTCAAGGCAACCTACACTGTAAACCCGGATGTTGTAAAAGCTCAAACTGTTTAGTTGTCATTGTTATCTCATATGTTTTCGTCGCAATCGTTGTGGAGACTAATCTTTACGAGCTGTTTGTACAACTTTGGCACGACGCTAGTTAGAACTAATAATGTCAAGAAATAATAATTAAACCAGGTAAAATTACTCAGAGGGGCGGGGTCTATTTTCAAAATCTGGCCTACGTCATCACATCTCTCACTCTACAGATCACGCACCGTCGTCACTAAATGTAAAATGACGCTATGATTGATATTATGAAAGACCCATGTTACAGTTATGTTTGGAAAAAATGCACTTATTTTGTACAAGTTGCTCTGGAAAGCCTGTTTGTAATCTGTTGGCAAAAGTATTTATATTTTTTTGTACACTAATGCAGTGGTTCCCAGCCTTTTGTCTAACATACCCCTTGGGCCTTTCTTTAATTTATGCTCTTACAACCCTCTGATTCAATGGATATGCTGATTAGTTAGAACTGGAATGACAAAAATCTAATTATTGAAATGAAATGTATATATCTTTTTACAGTTAAATGTTTTAAAATGTATCTTTGTCCATAACAATCAAAAATACAATTTGTTTGTTGTTGGTGGCTTTGGAGAAGGTGGCTGTGCTAGTCCCTCTGACCTGAGACTGTGAGGGTGAGTACTTCCTGTCCTGTTCCGTTACTTTTTTATTTTGCTCAATTTTGACATGAAGAAGAATTGCAATGAGAAAGAGAGGAAGACGGGGGGTCTCCATAATGAATAGAGCAAGAAGTACAGTACCTCTAATTACTACATACTTCATTTTCCACTATTTTATATTTTTGGTTGACAAATAAGTACTGTATAATATTATCCTGTACAATACTGATTGTATTGCTTTAAGTGAAAAAACTTCACGTATTTATCTTGTAAGCCTGGTGCTCCATTAATGACAAAACACATGTATTGTGTTGATTGAAAAAAATGTATTGGGCGAACATTTTGAATAAACTAATTTGACCAAATAAATCATTGTTTTTATTTTTACCAACTCTAATTAACAGGGCCAAGCCAAATTACCCCTATATGACTGTTGAATGAGCTTGACTGATATGATCAAGGCATTTATAAAACTAAATTGAATGAGTATAGATAATGTCTAAGTTGGTCTGGTGAGCTGATGATTGATAATAAAGACTATGTTTACTGAAGTTATATTGTTGTGTTTATGGTATTTATATAACTAATCTTTATTGAGGGAACGTGTTTCCTAGCCTGGCCTTATCCATCCGTACACTCCGGTCAATCATCATTTCACTGCATGTAACGTCTGGGTCTGGTCCCTGTGTTAGCGATTACAATCGGTTGAATTTCGACCGACCAATCAGAGAGCGCGGGAGGCAGGTGTTGTAGTTAGTTGTGGGTGATGTCAAGAGTTTGCGTCAAACGGGAAGGTTGTAGTTTGGCAACGGCGAAAAATGCAATAGTAAAGTAATCCGGTCTGGTTCTGTCAAGAAATTGAAGCCGGAGTAAGAGGAATGTTTAGCAAATGTAATCGCTGGAAGAATTGTGGCGCTACTCCCCACGGGCTCCGTTAGCGGCAAAGAAGATGGCTAGGCTAATTGCTAAATGCTAACAACAGACTCGGGCGCACTCATGGATCTATAATAATAACTGGATAGGGTATTACTAGCTTACAGCTGTCCCACCCATGGGCACAGGGGGCGCCCCGTGGTACTGCAGACTAAATTAACGTGGGAGTACCCAGAAAAAAGTCCCGTAGAACTCAATATAAATTAAAACAGCTCGACCTCAGCTGACAGAGAACCTACAGCTTTCATAAAGATCGGATTTTGTGGGGATTTTAGTGTCCCTTGTCATCCTGAATTTTTTTTCGTCTTAAATCCTTCGGTTTTCTTTAAATCTACACTTTACTGCCACAAACTCTGCTCCTTTCCTTCCCGCTCTGGCTCCGCTCTTCCGCTGCTCTGATGATCAGCTCAGAGCATGGCTGAGCCCCTCTGTGCTTGTGCATGAAAGATATCTCCCGTAATGCGTTGCGCTAATCCACTGTGCAGAACCAGGAGGACCAGACGATGCCCAAATATAGGCGAGTTCAGCTAATCTCCCGGTCTCCATGAAGTCTCATGCGCTACTGAGCACAAGCCATTCATTTGAATAGGGTGCCATCTTGGATCACCGGGGCTTGGGCGCACTACATACGTCACGGTAAACTCAGATCCAATCGTTTCAATCTGCAAAAGGAGTTAACCCCTCCCACCTGTTAACGGAGCTCAATGGAGCACCTCCAGACCTTAGTACGAAATGTAATTTGTACTATGGTGTGGTATGACCAGGCTACGAGTTTCCTAAAGAAGCATTAGTTTTCCCCACTATTCGGGTTTACAGTGTACGCAGGCACCCTGAGAATATGCAAACCACTCAGAAATAGCCTGTTTGGATTGGGCTTAAAACACACAACCAACCATAACCAACATGCCGCCCTGTGATGACGTCAGATATACCCTGTTTATGTATAAATGGACTAACTGTGCACTTAAATGAATCTTGGAGTGACATTGATTATAGTTTTTCCGCGCCGGTCACGTGACTGGGTGGCACTACAGCATAGAGAGCTACCTGGATTATGTTTACTGTTTTATGTTTGACGTTGCTCAGAAAAATAGTTAGAAAAACTTAAATTTATGTCTTGGAATTGCAGAGGTTTACAAAAAAACAAGAAAATGAAACAAGTCATGAATAAATTAAGCGATTCAGGCTCAAAAATGATATTCTTACAGGAGACTCGTACTGCCAAAGAAGACCATATTAAAATAAGTCGAAGATGACGGTGAATGTATGCAGCATCATTTAACTCACAGGCACGAGGGGTTATGTCCCTCGTTCATAGCTCGACGTCCAATACAATCAAAACAATAAACTTGGGAGATATTTAATTATTCAAGGCGCATTATTTGCGACTAGATTGAATCGTTTTGTAAATGTTTACGGTCCAAATGTGGACAATCCACATTTTTTAACTGACCTTTTTCTGACTCTTTCCTCCCTCCAAAGGGCATTAAATCCTGTCATGGACCGCTCTACAGGTATCGACCAAACACACAATAAAAGTACGACAACTATAAAGCATTTTATGAAGGAGCTTAAGCTGATTGATATCTGGCGATATGTTAAACCTGATGAAATTGCTTTATTCTTGCTATTCTGGGGCATATAAGACTTTTACTCGCACTGAATACTTTCTAATCTCTGCTACATTGATATCTAAAATCAATAACTGTTTTTATGATACTATACTGCTGTCTGATCATGGACCATGTGGATTCTCTGTCCAGTCTCTGCCCAACAAGACGGACGTCCCTCCTTAAACCAACTTAAAGATGGAACACAATGAAATTAATACAAACACAGTATTACATTTGAAATCCAAGTTGCATCGACTCAACTTAAAGACCCCTCTTCACATGTGTCTTATAAAAATCACATTGGTTACAGAAACACACACAGAAAAGAACTCAAAAAAAGTTTTTTAGAGATCATTTCA